ACGCGCGTGATCTGAGTTTTTGATGGAATATTTTTTATCTGTTGTATGTAATGTAATGTTTGGCAGAATCATGGAATGGTTAGCGTTGGTAATGATTTTATCGCATGACGAGCTGTAATAGGCTGTCATTCTGAGAATCACATGGATACTTAGACATCACATGGATAATTCAAACTCTCATCACTACATCACGATGTTGAAACAAAGTCGCTTTCCGCTGTCTGTCTCTCCCTATGTATGCTTAGATCAAATCTACGCAACGGATTTTGATGCGTTTTTTTATAGATTCAAAAGGAAGGTTTATGTGTATAATACGTGCGTAATATAGTAGAATATGGAGGAGCTCGATGTCGCAAGTGGTTAGCGCGTTCGGCTGCGATCGTTGAAGTTAAGCAACTTTCGCAGTAGTCGGTCATTGGATGGGTGACCAAAAATTTTCTATCTCGAGTTCCTCCGTGCTTCGGAAGGTACGTTAAGCCGTTGGTCCCGGCTGCATTTGCAGTCGTTAGCACCCACCAATCCGCACTGGGCCCGCGTGGTGGGTCATGGCCCAATCTCCCTATTCCATCCATAGGGAAGGCCTGTGCCCCAGCAGTGGGAACATTAATAGGCTGATGATGATAATGATGATAGTAGGATAACACTGATAATTTTAGAGATTTCTAATGTGATGTCGTAAATAAACACATTTTATTGCGCTTACATTGCCAACGCTGGCTGAACCCTACGAGATAGATCAAAATAATGGACTAAAGTATTGTACGTCTATAAAAAAGTCCGTGATGATGAAAGTGTATCTCTTGAAGATTATTGCTTTGAAGTTTTTATATGTCTGAACACAGGCTTGTATGTGCGTGTATAATTTATTGGAGACTTGCTTCTAGAATTGCACGTATTTGCGTTGAGGAGCTCGATGACGCAGGTGGTTAGCGCGTTCGGCTGCGATCGTTGAAGTTAAGCAACTTTCGCAGTGGTCAATCATTCGATGGGTGACTAAAAATTATTATCACGAGCTCCTCCGTGCTTCGGAAGGCACGTTAAGCCGTTGGTCCCGGCTGCATCTGCAGTCGTTAGCACCCGCCAATCCGCACTGGGCCCGCGTGGTGGGTCATGGCCTAATCTCCCTATTCCATCCATAGCGAAGGCCTGTGCCCCAGCAGTGGGGACATTTATAGGCTCATGATGCGTTGGCGAAATTTTCATTCAATTATTGAACATTCTTGAATAATAGTGCAATTTATTATTGTATGTGCTGGTTACACCAAGAAAAGTTTTGAAACAAAACTTTTATAACATATCAAGAATTTTATGTGCTGTTAGACCATGCAAGTCATTTAGTGCTTCCATTTAATTGTATGCTACAGGCAAGAAACTTGCATCATGTAAATGGCCCTTTAGGAATCATCATCATCACCAGCCTATCAATGTCCCCACTGCTGGGGCACAGGCCTTCCCTATGGATGGAATAGGGAGATTGGGCCATGACCCACCACGCGGGCCCAGTGCGGGTTGGTTGGTGGGTGCTAACGACTGCAGATGCAGCCGGGACCAACGGCTTAACGTGCCTTCCGAAGCACGGAGGAGCTGGAGATAGTAAATTTTCGGTCACCCATCCAATGACCGACCACTGCGAAAGTTGCTTAAATTCAACCATCGCAGCGGAACGCGCTAACCACTTGCGCCATCGAGCTCCTCCTTCCTTTAGGAATAACCCTTAAAAACCATTTTTTAGCCTCTCCTTTTGACGAGAAAACATTTGACTTATTCGCGAACCGTTTTAAGCAATACAGCATTATTAGCAATATAATCCTTATTTAATTGCCAATCTAACCTAATATTTTGCTCAAAATAATAGAGGGTTCTAATTTAGCTTGGGGTAAATGTTTACGTAATTGACATTGGTTATTTTTAGAGATTTGCCGACTATGGTATTTGCCGACTAACCGACTAAACGGTTTCCAATTTACCGACTAATTGGCGTACTAGTCGGCAATGCCGATCATTCTATCTATCATTCCGTTGTCACCGTTTTACTGTGGCCACAATTCCAACGCGTACAAAGAAATTTGGTGACTCATTTCTTTGTCGCACTATCCGTAAATGGAATGCTGTGCCCGCTCACGTGTTCCCTCCCTCTTACAACCTGGGATCCTTTAAAAGAGGCGTGAAGAAGCAACATGCAGGCCGGCAGGGTGAGGATGGCTGGTGTGGCAGGTAGAACTGCTGTATCAGCTATCTTCGCGTCTGGACTTCACCTTCACTTAACATCAGGGGGGGTGAAGTCATTTGTCGGACCTATCTATAATTATAATTCTAATACCTATCTTAGGGAGGTGTTTAGAATATTTTGTCACTACTCGGCTTGCTAACGCACGACACGAGTCAGGAGTCCCGAAAAGTGCACAATATTGATGACGAGAAATCTAGTTCGGCTCACGAACTTCACTCTTACTGCGCATTGCCTGTCATAAAACGTCATGAAGACCTATTTACATGGTGGCACCCAGTGTTGCCAGGTCTCCAGATTTTACAGGAGATCTCCTGTTTTTCTTAGAATACGATTTTCTTTTACAAATGCATGTTGAGTTATATTTTCGGCCATTACTAATGTAGGTAACCTTATTAATTTAAAATAAATGTTATCTAAAAAAACTAGCTTTAGAAGCCACAGAGAAACACATTCGTTACTGGTCTTATTAACTACTGGTATTAAGTTTATCTTGATTTGATTACCAATTCTGGGGGGGGGGGGGGGGGCAATTCTACTGTTTTTCTTGTAGCTCTTTCGATACAGCTGCTGGTTTTTTCTATAACGTCTCGCGATTTTTAAAATCGGTATCGCCAAAGTACTTTTTTTTGTCCCGCCAGTATTGTTTATAGCGAGCGTCTTTTCACAGAAGCTGGCAACATCTTTGAGACAAAAATAAATCGGCTACTTCCAGATCGAGCCGAACATTGAGATTCCTACATCACAACTTGCCTCTAATAATTTTTTTTAAGGACTTCTTTAACTATTCCATCTTCTCTTAATCTCTATATACCTAAATCTATTATATCTTCCTATTCCGTTGAGCCACACCAATTGTTTATTCATGATGCGTACTAACATTGTCTATGACCCGACATGTTAAACACAGTCGTGTTTTCCACGTGGATTGTAAAGTCACCAAGTGTTAAGTGAAAGATAAACACCGAGACACTTGCGTTATATTATTTTTAACCGAGTCTAATTATGAAATCCATCTGTTGGTCCATGGCATTCTCTAACAGTTTCCGTAGTTTTTTAATATCAAGTGCTTCTGCCTTGCTATCGATCAGTTCATCATCATCATCAGCCTATTAATGTCCCCACTGCTGGGGCACAGGCCTTCCCTTTGGATGGAATAGGGAGATTGGGCCATGACCCACCACGCGGGCCCAGTGCGGATTGGTGGGTGCTAACGACTGCAAATGCAGCCGGGACCAACGGCTTAACGTACCTTCCGAAGCACGGAGGAGCTCGAGATAGTAAATTTTTGGTCACCCATCCAATGACCGACCACTGCGAAAGTTGCTTAACTTCAACGATCGCAGCCGAACGCGCTAGCCACCTGCGCCATCGAGCTCCTCAGTATATCGATCAGTTGGTGCGGGCTTTTTGTAATTTTCGTTTTTTCCGTGATGACATCTGCTGCAAATACTTTATTTTAAACCGTTTAAAAAGATATTATAACTTCCTAATTGCTGCCTACAAGTGTTAAGTACTATTAGACATAAGGACATGTCAAAACCGTTAACTGATTTACTTAATAGGGATGATTACTAATTTTTTTTTTCTTCGTTTCATGTAGATTATCAAAAAGTATTGGACACGTATTTTTTGTTTTTTCACATAATATAAACATTGCAGAGATATATTGATTTGCAAAGTCGCATGACGTCACGTTTGAGTACACTTATATGTGAAAATTCACTCAAAAGTGACGAGCCTCTACTCCCAAACTTTGACGCGCTATAACTTTGTCATTTTTTGGTTGATTGCCCAAAGAAAAAATACGTGTCCATTATTTTTTGATCATATAACTAACGGACTAAATAGAATTTCCTTTACTGTACCCCGTCATCACCCCTATTGTTATTAAAGAGAATTAGAAGTTACAATTACTATGTTTTTTCTGTTATTAGAACTGTTTCAGCGGCGTATTTTGAAATTTCCACCCATCCTCCCCCCTAGAATTAGTAAATGAAATCAAAATAAAGTTCGGTAACGAATGCCTTTGTGTCAGCTCTTGCAGCCGCCCATCGCAGTCTGCCGCCCTGGCACATGGCCCTATTGGTCCTAGGGTCAATACGCTCCTGGCTGTTATTAATTTGTTACTAATATTGCAAAATATAGTTAATACGTGATGTATGCGAGACCTTGATTAATATTGGATATTCATGATGTGCATTGACAGATAATAATCTACATTCTTGTTAAAAAATATTTTTATATCGCTTATCGTTCGTATTTTGTTAGTATCAGTTTGTAGATGGCAACGACTATTATACGAGTTTTCATTATGTTAATGGTGAAACATAATACTGAAATTTAAAATAAGCGGTATAATTCGTTCGAATGTTTCTGTTGTAATTTCATTTATTATTTAATTAGCAAACATATTGAGCCAAATGTTTGGTGTGTATCATCAAATATCCCACACCATTCCCATCTGCTTCATTTCGTTGTTGCATTCAACGAAAGATTAAAAAAAAGTCCCAATAGAGTAAATCATTATCATCATCGACAGCTTATTAATATCCCCTACTGCTGGGACACAGGCCTTTCCTATGGACGGAAGAGATTTGGCCATGAACCACCACGCGAGCTCAGTACGGATTGGTGGCTGCTAACGATTGCAGATGCAGCTGGGACCAACGGCTTAACGTGCCTTCCAAAGTACGGAGTAGCTCGAGATAATAAGTATTGGTCACCCATCCAACGTCCACCCATTAATATATAATCGAACATTTATTTTCAGTTCCCGATCGCCTGAAGAAACGAGCCAGCTTGAAGTTATACAGGGCGCGAGAGCGGGACTTCAAACAAGACATGAGTCAGACAGAGCACAGGGCGGACGCGCTACCTTGGATGTTCCCAACGCCCGGCCGCATGCCTGCCGTGCCCACGCTGGTGAGTGTCTGACAGGCTCAGGGCGCGATACAGGCGAGACATGAGTCAGACAGAGCACAGGGCGGACGCGCTACCGTGGATGTTCCCGGCGCCCGGCCGCATGCCTGCCGTGCCCACGCTGGTGAGTGTCTGACAGGCTCAGGGCGCGATACAGGCGAGACATGAGTCAGACAGAGCACAGGGCGGACGCGCTACCGTGGATGTTCCCGGCGCCCGGCCGCATGCCTGCCGTGCCCACGCTGGTGAGTGTCTGACAGGCTCAGGGCGCGATACAGGCGAGACATGAGTCAGACAGAACACAGGGCGGACGCGCTACCGTGGATGTTCCCGGCGCCCGGCCGCATGCCTGCCGTGCCCACGCTGGTGAGTGTCTGACAGGCTCAGGGCGCGATACAGGCGAGACATGAGTCAGACAGAGCACAGGGCGGACGCGCTACCGTGGATGTTCCCGGCGCCCGGCCGCATGCCTGCCGTGCCCACGCTGGTGAGTGTCTGACAGGCTCAGGGCGCGATACAGGCGAGACATGAGTCAGACAGAACACAGGGCGGACGCGCTACCGTGGATGTTCCCGGCGCCCGGCCGCATGCCTGCCGTGCCCACGCTGGTGAGTGTCTGACAGGCTCAGGGCGCGATACAGGCGAGACATGAGTCAGACAGAACACAGGGCGGACGCGCTACCGTGGATGTTCCCGGCGCCCGGCCGCATGCCTGCCGTGCCCACGCTGGTGAGTGTCTGACAGGCTCAGGGCGCGATACAGGCGAGACATGAGTCAGACAGAACACAGGGCGGACGCGCTACCGTGGATGTTCCCGGCGCCCGGCCGCATGCCTGCCGTGCCCACGCTGGTGAGTGTCTGACAGGCTCAGGGCGCGATACAGGCGAGACATGAGTCAGACAGAACACAGGGCGGACGCGCTACCGTGGATGTTCCCGGCGCCCGGCCGCATGCCTGCCGTGCCCACGCTGGTGAGTGTCTGACAGGCTCAGGGCGCGATACAGGCGAGACATGAGTCAGACAGAACACAGGGCGGACGCGCTACCGTGGATGTTCCCGGCGCCCGGCCGCATGCCTGCCGTGCCCACGCTGGTGAGTGTCTGACAGGCTCAGGGCGCGATACAGGCGAGACATGAGTCAGACAGAACACAGGGCGGACGCGCTACCGTGGATGTTCCCGGCGCCCGGCCGCATGCCTGCCGTGCCCACGCTGGTGAGTGTCTGACAGGCTCAGGGCGCGATACAGGCGAGACATGAGTCAGACAGAACACAGGGCGGACGCGCTACCGTGGATGTTCCCGGCGCCCGGCCGCATGCCTGCCGTGCCCACGCTGGTGAGTGTCTGACAGGCTCAGGGCGCGATACAGGCGAGACATGAGTCAGACAGAACACAGGGCGGACGCGCTACCGTGGATGTTCCCGGCGCCCGGCCGCATGCCTGCCGTGCCCACGCTGGTGAGTGTCTGACAGGCTCAGGGCGCGATACAGGCGAGACATGAGTCAGACAGAACACAGGGCGGACGCGCTACCGTGGATGTTCCCGGCGCCCGGCCGCATGCCTGCCGTGCCCACGCTGGTGAGTGTCTGACAGGCTCAGGGCGCGATACAGGCGAGACATGAGTCACGGTAAAAATGGGATGGAGTTAATTAGTTAACCTACAAAATCAATAAGCATTTCTGAAGCTCCCTGATTCGGACATGTCTTCAGATGAAATGCTTTAAAAAGCTAAATAGGTACTATTAAAATGTAAGCAAATTGGATACAACCAGATCTCACATTAGATCACACATTTTGGAGTCGGTTGTCTCATGGGAAGCCATCAAATCAGTCATTCCAAGCTGAACTGAGTGTAAGAACATTTGCTGTTGACAGGAGCAAATATTTTCTGTTAAATAAACTCACTGTCTATACTCTATAAATCATCATTTTTGCTTAGGTGGAGTCATGCAACCGCTTCATGTGTCTCACGTCCCGTCTCAAGTCTCGCGAGACCTCGGACCCTGATAAGCCTCCAGATGTTCCTGATGAGTTCCGTCCTCAGTCCGAGGAGGAGTTGCCAGAGAGCCGCGTCAACTTCCACAAGACGTTCAGCATGCTCATCAACATGGGGAACAACGTGGAGAAAGGATGCCGGAGGACTGTGAGTAGATTCTCTTATAAATCGGTAATTAGCGAAATTGTTACCATGTAAGTACCTTGTTCTTTGAAAGTCTCCGATATTTCGGCAGTTTTTTAATGAAGTAATAACTTCTTTTTCAAAATTCAATATCGTTTATTCAGTCTAGGCTGTTACAAGCACTTGTGAATGTCGAAAAGCTACGACATCGGTTCGCAAATCTACGGCGGGAGACCTTGTACTGATAAGAACCGGCAATAAACTCAGCAAGGGCGGTTTTTTTCTCCCTGTATTATATACAGAGTCATCAAATGGAAAAATGACTTCAATATGAGGTAACTAATAAAGTCATTTTCCATTACAAATGCAAATATTATAAAAAATATGAATATATAAAAAACTGGTTTAACAAAGTTTAGGAATGCCGTGTCCTACTGTTTAGGCAAACAGAATAATAGTGGACGAACCTCTCAAAGTTTAGTACAACGATTAATAGTACCCAATGAAGTAAGAGCAGACTCATCTCCGCTGGCAGCACCCGTTCACGAGCATGACGCATGAACCAGCCATCGTTTCGCTCAACCATTTTTTAGGGAACGCAACGACCCGCCTCACACGACACCACCAAAGAGTTATGGGAAGACCAGTTATGGGAAGGCAAACCGTTTCGTTCCGTAATATCAACGCGTACAAATAAATTTGGTGACTCATTTCTTTGTCGCACTATCCGTAAATGGAATGCTCTGCCCGCTCATGTGTTCCCTTATTACAACCTGGGATCCTTTAAAAGAGGCGTGAAGAAGCAACATGCAGGCCGGCAAGGTGAGGATGGCTTGTATGGCAGGTAGAACTGCTGTACCAGCTATCTTCACGTCTGGACTTCACCGTCACTTAACATCAGGTGGGGTGGAGTCATTTGTCGGACCTATCTATAAAAAAACAACGACGGGTTGACAGAAGTGAAAACTAGAATATTATCGTTGTGCATTTTTGATATTTTGGAATGGTTAGGGAATAATTTTGCATGAATTGCTTTAATTTGTCAGTATAAAAATACTATCATTTATGTTGTAGAATACGAGATTTATTTTTTACGCTATCGTACACAAACATGACAATTTATATTACATTAAAAAGGTTATCTCTCAGAAAAAACAGCTTACATGAATCGAATTTAAGCGCACCTAGCGACATCTATTGTAAAATAATGCATTTTCTTCGCAATAAAGGTGCAACCTGGACGTACTAGATAGAGACTTATTATTATAATACGATAAAATAATGCTATGTTTCGTCCAATATATTGAAAGTCAACAACCTTTCCAATTTTATTGTTTTCGTCTTACGAATTTCCGATCAGGTCACGTGTCCTGACGCGAGTTTAACATTTTTTACCCATTACAAAAAAAGTGTACAACGCCGCTAAAGAACTTTTAACTTCAAAAACCTTGTCTCAGATAAGCCGCGAGGAACAAGTGTGGCAGAATGAACTAAAGGACCTGATATGGCTGGAGCTGCAGGCTAATGTTGCGGGCCGAACGCTCGCGCAGCAGGACGCCTATCTGTGCGCGCAACGCAACGCTGTGCCTACGATACTGCAGAATATCATGGAATACAAGTAAGGGCTATTATAAGTGAATATAAGGAAGAGGGGGCCATTCGCCTAACGGAAATGCTTTGAAAAACGCTAACGCTTACGATTTCATTTTGTTCTTTCTAGCCGCCTGAGGTTTTGAAATGGCTCGCGCTCTTTTTTTTCTTTTGTAATAACAATATAACAAAAAAATAGCGTGAGGTATTTGAAAACCTTGGACGGTCAGAAACAACAAAATAAAATCGAAAGCGTTAGCGTTTCCCAAAGCATTTTCGTTAGGCGAATGGCCCCCAGATGTGGCAGAACTACGCTTATGGCTTACTAGCGGCCCGCCCTCGCTTCGCTTCGGTGTAGAGCTGAAGTGTAGACTACAGTTTTTGTTCTCAGGCTTGTATTATACACAATGACATTCATCTATGATACTTCTTATACCTGCATGCAAAGTCTTAGCCCGATCGGTTTAAAATTGACAGTTTCATACAAACTTTCATTCCCTATTTTATCCCCTTGGGGGTAGAATTGAACAAAATCCTTTCTTAGCGGATGTCTACGTCGTAACATCTATCTATCTATATTTATATCTAATAAATATAGTATTTTCGAAACTTTTACCTCTAAATATATAGTACATGGCAAAAAATGGAAAGAAAATATATTATGTGGTTAAAATATTTACTTTATTTTTGAAATGAAATTATTTTTGCTGCTATATGCCGTAATAATTAAGTTTTTATTTTTAAGAAAGCTTTCTCATTGGCAAAAGTCTGCTTATTGCAAAATATAGTGCTTTCGCATACTATATATACATATATTTAAACAAAGTTTTTGTTTCCCTGATATAGTTGGATACTTTTTTATATAGTAGGGTTGGCAACCCTACACCAGACATACAATTGTATTACGATGATTGTGGCGCCACATTTGCATCGCGACACATTTCACGCCCCCATATATCTGCGTGTAAGCACGCACAACACGCCAGGGCACATTTGCAGCGGGTGCATTTAGTAGCGAGACGAAAGCAAAAATGTAGCGTGCATATTATGGTAACGTAAATGTTGCGTGCTTGTACCCTGTGAGGAGCTTGATGGCGCAGGTGGTTAGCGCGTTCGGCTGCGATCGTTGAAGTTAAGCAACTTTCGCAGTGATCGGTCATTGGATGGGTGACCAAAAATCTTCTATCTCGACTTTCTCCGTTCCTCGGAAGGCACGTTAAGCCGTTGGTCCCGGCTGCATCTGCAGTCGTTAGCACCCGCCAATCCGCACTGGGCCCGCGTGGTGGGTCATGGCCCAATATCCCTATTCCTAGGGAAAGCCTGTGCCCTAGCAGTGGTGACATTAATAGGCTGATGATGATGATGATATGAGGCTGTCAGCGCAAAAGTGGCCTTATCCTCAATTATTCCTATTCTGATTAAGCAGCTAAGGTCACTTATGAAGTCAAGATTGAGGGAAAAAAATCAATGCAAAAAGAACGTTTGCAACGCCATCTATTGATGCCTGGTGAAACAATAGATAGGCCGATTTTGAATTAAATTTTAATTCATTGTAGAAGATGAATCAGAATATGAGTGTTAGGCCACTCCGCACTGGGCCCGCGTGGTGGGACATAGCCCAATATCCCTATTCCATCCATAGGGAAAGCCTGTGCCCCAGCAGTGGGGATATTAATAGGATGATGATGATGATAAACATATTTGTGGTACAGACCGTTGAAACTTATAACACTAAGTTGGCCGATAGATGTGCCCGGAAGTATATTAGAATACGAGTAAACTAGCAAACCAGTGAACCAAATGTTCACCAAAACCTGATTTAAAAAAAAAAGTGTATTTAATTAATTGAGAAATTCGGAGATTTTGTGTGGTTTCGTTTGAAATTCGTGATTTCTCGAAAACCGGAAGTGCTACGTTACTCAAATCCGGTTTGTAGTCTTATCAGACTATTCTTAACTTATAACTTAAATATTCTCTTTATCTATCTCTTACGGTTTGGCCGCTGAAACAGCACCACAGGCAGACGGACGGACGGACTTGTCTAATAGATAAGAGATAATATAAAAAATGGTTGCCTGTAAAGTCGGTTTTACGGGCGAAGATTTTACGTGACAACGTCTTTTTCTCGGTAGAATATTTATTGATATGAATATAATTAAATTGCACAATAGGAACAAGGAATTGAATGAAAATAAGAATTGCACAAATTTTAACTATAGAAATATATTTTGTTTACTAAAACATTGTACATGTAAACTTAAACTTAACACGAGAGACTCATCGTAACGTTACCGAGCGTTACACTTTTTCATAAGTGACTCCCAGCCGCAACCTAATTTAAGACGTTGTCACGTCAATAACAGATACATTATTATGGTATGCATAGGTTCGTGAACTCTGAGAAGTGCCAGTCTCGATCGTCCATGCTGTGTACGGTGGAGGGGTCGCGGGAGGACCTCACGGACTGCGACCGTGCTTCTGGGGGCTGCAACTCTTTCCAAGGTCAGTCGAATGCCATTGAAATGAAATGAAACGTCATTTATTCAGACTAGGCTGTTACAAGCACTTGTGAAGGTCAAGAAGCTACGCCATCGGTTCGCAAAACTACGGCGGGAGACCTAGTACTGAGAAGAACCGGCAAGAAACTCAGCAAGGGATGTTTTTTTCTCCCTGTATTGTTATATACAGAGTCGTCAAGTTGAAATATGACTTCAGAGATACGTCTGAAGTCACCTTCTATTACATCATTTAGAATATAAATATATAGTAACAATACATTTTATAGTTGTTTGTTTAGTTATCATAAAGAGGGGTCATGTTTACCAATTCTCAGATGATACATGTCTACTGGTGGCCAACAGGAACATAAATCTTGCACAAATCGATATGCAGGAAAGCTTTGATCAGTTATGTAAGTGGGCACATGATGTAGGATTGGTGATAAATAGGCAAAAAACAAAAATGATTCACATACACTCATCGCAGAACAGGACACTTGACACACCGACAATCCTGGCTCACAGTCATCAATGCCTGCATAGTGATGCAAATGTTTTCTCATGTCCAACTTTAGAGGTAGTAGAAAGTCATATGTATATTGGTCTTATTATCGACAATAGATTCAACTGGGGATATCATAAAAATTACGTATGTTCGAAACTAAGGTCTATTCTAAGCAAATTTGCTGTGCTTAAATATAAATTTCCATACAGAACCCTCAGATTAATGTATATGGCCCTAGCTGACTCAGTTATTGGCTATGACTTGAGCAGCTATGGTTTGACATATGATACATATTTAAAAATATATACACAGATTACAAATAAGAATCTTAAAAAATATTGTTCCAAAATATATTAAAAATAAATATAAAGAAAATTATGGTGAGTTGTTTAACCATTGTAAAGTGTTGAGTGTATATGATAAAGTCAAATTTTGTGTTTTAACAGAATATAACAGTGCTCATAATCTACAGACTCACCATCGTCCAGAATACTTGCGTAACCTTAATTATAAAAAATATTTCCTACCGAAAACCAACAATGTATATGGTTCGAGAACACTAAAATATGTTATTCCTAAATTTCTAAATGAAATGCCCCCCAGTATTCAAGAATTGTATATGAAAGATAATTGTAAACATAAACTTAAAAAAATATTTGTTAGAGCGAATCGCTGTAGACAGATAAACCCATGTTTAAGGGTTTTTTAGATACAGCCATTGTATATCAAAAATGTAAATGATTTGATTGAATAAATGAAAAAAAAAAGTTAACATTATATTTAGTATATAGAAAGCGGCATTAGATAGGTACTATATTACTGTTATGAAAAATTACTAATATCTATCAAATAGCAAATTACAAGAAACGATATGTCCATGCATTACGATCATTTAGATAATCATCAACTTTATAATAGCCCTTATTCATAAGAGTATTCTTGATCTGAGATTTAAATTTGGTCAGTGGAAGCTCAATCAGATCTTGGGGAACTTTATTAACAATGCGATACTACAACCCAGAAATGAACCTCTTGATTTTTGGAGTCTGAAACATGGAACGTCAAGCTTGTTCTTAAATCTCGTGTTAAAGTCATTCATTTCATAATCATTTATTCGTGCGATAAACGATCACCGCGCTCTCTTATAAAATAATCAACTTTTAATCTAAAGAAAAGTTTACTAGAAAAAAATGTAGGTAACCCACAATGCGAAGAGATGGCGCTGCCTTGCAGCTTAAGGCTAGGAAAATTTCGACGCGGCTAATAGGGCCGTGGTAGCATAATGGTCAGTGCATTCGCCCGCATAGCCAAGGATGCGGGTTCGAGACCCGTCCGCTGCCTGGTCCGCGTGGATTTTTTTCTAGTAATCTTTTCTTTAGATTTAAACATCTAGCAGTTAAATGCTTAATAAATAAATAAAATCATAATGCTAACTTTTCCCACAGACGCCGCCCAGCCTGGGTGTTTATCGTTCAACTGCCGCAACTGCACAGACGCCATAGGCAAGGCTATGAGAGAGATCAGTACTCTGCTGGACTCATTCGACAGCGCCGTGGAGCTGTATCCTTCCAGCAAAGCCATGACAGTCGAGCACCCGCTGATTGCGACTAACGCATTCAAAAATAGACTTCGGGTAAGTGGAGTTAAGATTTATCATTCCAGAATGACTTGCCCCCTAATATACGTAAAGCTAAAGCTCCTAACAAACTTGTATTCAAGGGATTGGTTTGTGAGCATTATCTTAATATGTCTTCTATTAATCTGCGTTCTCATATTTGACTGGCATAATTATGTGTATGTTTATGTATGTATTGTAGATATAGCTTATATATTTAGATGTATGTATTGTATATATATTTTAATATTTGTGTATTCTATTGATATATATATTACCTACCTGGTTTACTTAGCATATGTCCTTATTGCACCCCCGTATTTTTATTTCTCACGCTTTTACTGGTCGACTGGTAGAGAATGCCTTATGCCATTATGTCCGCTATTTGCTGTTTTTTGTAATAAAGTATAAATAAATAAATAAATAAAATAAATAAGATTTAGTAACTGTGAATATGCTTCGAACAATTGCATGTGTAACCAATTATGTTTACTCATGAAAATGTATTAAAATTCAATTGTCTAAGAGCCTGTTTCACAAGCGATAACTTCTAGGTAAGCTACAGGTAACAAACATGAAAGTGTGCTCAGACTACGCTATGCAGTTGCGCTGTAAAGTATAGCGCGTATAGCAGGCCCGCATCATCATCATCACCCTATTAATGCCCTCACTGCTGGGGCACAGGCCTTCCCTATGGATGGAATAAAGAGATTGGGTTATGACCCACCACGCGGGCCTAGTGCGGATTGGTGGGTGCTAACGACTGCAGATGCAGTCGGGACCGACGGCTTAACGTGCCTTCCGAAGCACGGAGGAAGTCGAGATAGAAGATTTTTGGTCATTCATCCAATGACCGACCACTGCAAAAGTTGCTTAACTTCAACGATCGCAGCCGAACGCGCTAACCATCTGCGCTATCAAACTCCTCAACCATGGAACTCCTGCCCGTACCATAAAAGAAATGAAATATTTACATAAGAAAAGTTTCATCATCATCATCATCATGTCAGCCGTATGACGCCCACTGCTGAGCATAGGCCTCCCCCAAGGATCTCCACACCGATCGGTCCTGCGCCACTCGCATCCATCGGCTTCCCGCGACCTTCACAAGATCGTCGGTCCACCTTGTGGGGGGCCTACCCACAGAGCGTCGTCCGGTGCGTGGTCGCCATTCCAGAACCTTTCCGCCCCAACGGCCATCGGTTCTTCTTGCTACGTGTCCCGCCCACTGCCACTTCAGCAGAGCCATCGTTTGAGCGATATCGGTAACTTTGGTTCTCCTACGGATTTCCTCATTTCTGATTCTATCGCGTAGGGAAACACCAAGCATCGCTCTCTCCATTGCTCGCTGCGTGACCTTGAGCCTTCTTATGAGACCCGCAGTAAAGGACCACGTCTCGCTTCCGTAGGTCATCACTGGCAACACACACTGGTCAAAGACTTTTGTCTTGAGACACTGAGGTAATTTGGACGCGAATATTTTTCGTAGCTTCCCGAACGCTGCCCATCCGAGCTGGATACGACGAGAGATCTCTTTCTCAAAGTTGGACCTACCTAACTGGACTGTCTGTCCTAGGTAGACGTAACAGTCGACAACTTCGAGTGTAGTGTTCCCAATTTTAACTGGAGCGGGTAGTACATGGGCATTCGACATAATTTTCGTCTTCTCCATGTTCATCTTAAGACCCACTTTTTGGGAAGCACTACTAAGATCTTCGAGCATCGTGTTAAGATCTTCCAAGGTCTCAGCCATAAGAACTACATCATCGGCGAAACGAAGGTGCGAAAGGTACTCGCCATTGATGTTAATGCCTCGTCCTTTCCAATCCAGAAGCTTAAAAATATCCTCCAATGCAGCTGTGAACAGTTTCGGAGATATCACATCTCCCTGTCTCACGCCTCGCTTCAATTGGATAGGATTGGAGCTCTGGTTCTGTAATCGGACTGACATAGTGGCGTTTTCGTAGAGGTACCTTAATACCTCGACATACCTGTAGTCTACTTGGCACCTTTGGAGAGACTGTAACACCGCCCAGGTCTCAATCGAATCGAAAGCTTTCTCATAGTCCACGAACGCCAAACAAAATGGCAGATTATACTCTTCGGTCTTCTGTATAACCTGCCGCAGCGTATGAATGTGGTCTATGGTACTGAAGCCTTTGCGGAAACCGGCTTGTTCGGGAGGTTGGAAGTCATCAAACCTGCGTGCGAGACGATTCGTAATGACTCTCGAAAACAACTTATAAACATGGCTAAGAAGCGAGATTGGTCGATAGTTTTTCAAGAGTGCTTTGTCACCTTTCTTGAAGAACAGGACAACCCCACTTCTGGCCCATTCTTTTGGCGTTCTGCCTTCAAGGATGATGGAGTTGAAAAGCCTCTGGAGGACTTTAAGTATCGGCTTACCGCCCGCTCTCAGAAGTTCTGCTGTGATTCCATCATCGCCCGCCGCCTTGTTGTTTTTAAGTTGTTTGAGAGCCATACTAATCTCATACAGGCTGATGTCCGGGATATCTTCAGTGTAGTGTCGAGTAAGCTTGGCTCTGGGGTCTCTAGCCTTGCTTTCAACAGGTGCTTGCGTAGAATATAGCTGTCCATAGAAACTCTCAATCTCCCTCAGGATTTCAGCCTTAGACGAAATGATGCTACCGCTGTCAGTCTTCAGCTTTGCCAATTGGCTTTGCCCAATAGACAGATCTCTCGCGAACACTTTGGAGCCTTTGTTGCGCTCAATAGCCTCTTTGATACAATGTGTATTAAATCGGCGAAGATCGCTCGTCAAGGACTGTGATATCTGTCTATTTAGCTGCCGGTACTGAGTTGCATCTCCTGAATTCTGTAGTCTCATTTCGTTCCGCTGTTCCATGAGTAGGAGAGTTTTGTCAGAGAGTTTCTTAATTTTGGTACGGTGGGCTTTAAAATACTTGGACCCTACCGTAGGGACAGTATCTACCACCGTGTTGTTTAGATCGTCCACATCTAGGCTGTTCTCAAGGGATTCGAAGCGGTTTTGAAGCTCGAGTTGAAAGCTCTCGGGGTTCTGTAGTTGTGCAGGTATTGGTCGGAGCGTCGACTTCATCATTCGAGATCTTTCGAGCTTAATGTTGATATTCAATGTGCCTCGTACTAACCGGTGATCACTTCCCGTTTTAACGGCGTTAATCACAGAGACATCATTGAATATTAGCTTTTTCGTCGACATGATAAAGTCGATCTCGTTTCGGACTTTACCGTCCGGACTTATCCAGGTCCATTTTCGATTTTGGGGTTTCCTGAAGAAGGAGTTCATCATATAGAGGTTCTCCTTCTCCATAAAATCTACTAACATCTGTCCTCTGGCGTTTCGTTGTCCAACTCCAAATTGCCCCACTCTCAACTCATCACCGCAACGCTTCCCCAACCTTGCGTTAAAGTCCCCCATCACAACCGTGTAGTGTGTTTTGTAGCTATGCATGGCTTTAGTGATCTCCTCATACATAGCTTCCACTTCATCATCTGGGTGCGTTGAGGTCGGAGCATAAACCTGTATGACATTCAACGAATATCGTTTTGATATTCTGAGTATCAGGTATGCTACCCTGGTCGACACGCTTCCGATGGTGATGACGTTGTGGACAAGGGACTTGTGGACGATAAACCCGACACCGCCTAGGGACTGTTGATCGCCCTCCCGGTAGTATAGCAAGTTACCGGAATTGAGGATTATCGAGTCCTCTCCCTCTCTTCGGACTTCAGATAATCCAATAATATCCCAAAAGAAAAGTTTACTAGAAAAAAATCCATGCGGACCAGGCAGCGGACGGGACTCGAACCCGCATCCTTCGCTATCCGGGCGAATGCACTGACCATTATGCTACCACGGCCCTATTAGCCGCGTCGAAATTTTCCTAGCCTTAAGCTGCAAGGCAGCGCCGTCTCTTCGCATTGTAGATAACCCACAATGTCAAATGAATACTTTTTCAAGTATTAAACATTTGAAAGAAGAAGTAGCAATTATAGTTATGATTTTATTTATTTTTTAAGCATTTAACTGCTAGATGTTTAAATCTAAAGAAAAGTTTACTAGAAAAAAATTAGGGCCGTGGTAGCATAATGGTCAGTGCATTCGCCCGGATAGCGAAGGATGCGGGTTCGAGTCCCGTCCGCTGCCTGGTCCGCGTGGATTTTTGAAATCATATTTACATAAGTATCGAATGTTTTAATTCATATCAATTTATCATAGAAAGTTGATAGCAACTCCTACATCATTTTATGTCCTTCGCGCCTTTACGTGTGTGTTAGAAAAACCATTTGTAGCAGGATGTGAAAGCATTTGTAGCAGGTTGTGGAGCGACGCAGGTCTCGCCTACTTACCCACACTGACATTAAAAATTAAGGTTCTGTACCCTTAGCACGAAGCAATACCGAATTCGATCTGGACTCGCGTCAAATATTGAGAAACTTATTGAAACTAGAACACCACAACCACAATGGATGGAACGAAAATAAAAAAAAATCCACAAAACTTCTTCATATTTGACTCGTATCGACATAATTGATTCGTCCTTATAAAGGTGTGTGTAAGGAGTTACTTATGCAGTTGAATTAGACTAAATATAATTTTATGCAATTGAGAACATGTCCTGTATGTAAATAAAACACGCCTAAACGAGTTCAAAATGCGTCTTTTTATTACTTCTTTTAACGTAGGCCTTTTAGGCCTCATCATCACTTTCCATCAGGTGAGATTGTGGTCAAAAGCATAGCTTTTCAGGCTGCGTCGTCAGAATTATTAACTACTAGTGGCCCGCCCTCGCTTCGCTTCGCTGTAGAGCTGTAGTGTAGACTATAGATTTTGTTCTCAGGCGTGTATTGTACACATTGAATTTATTTATTTAATTCTTTTTTTATGATTCTTTTTTTATTGAATAGGTAATAATGTTAACTTTTTTAAATTAGGGATGAGTGAGAGTATTATAAACGTAAGAGTAAACAAATATAATCAGAATGCTCCGAACTGCTAAGCTATCAGGAGTTACACGTATTATTGTGAGTCAACCATAAAATATAGACATATGCTGTTGCAGGATATTTTTTAGACAATTTTGTGTAGAATATTTCCGTCATACATGATTTCTATGTAACTTTAACCATTAAGGCTGCGCACGCGACGGAAGCTTAAAAAATGGAGTAACTTCTCCCGTTTTCCCAACATTTCCCTTCACTACTCTGCTCCTATTGATTGTAGCGTGATGAAAAGTAAGATAAGATAAGATAAGATAATCATTTATTGTCCAGAACTGTGTACAAATGGTTCTTAAAATTTGGTAGTGCTAACAGTTTGCCCATTTCGGGCGTACAATTAATAATTAATTAAAAATAATTACATTAAAATAATATTTAGAAATTAAATGTCAGCTACATAAAATAATATTAAATTTACTCTCTAAACTATATTCATACAATCATAAATTAACCAGTTATGTCAAAATTATACATAAATACAATTTTATTGTCAATGATCATTGAAATATTCGTCCAAACTATAAAAACATTTCGATAATAACCAGTGCCTAAGCTGTGTCTTGAATCGTTTACTTTCTAAAGCTTTAATGGAATTAGGTAAATGATTAAAGACCTTGATTCCAGTTTTTATGGTACTTTTGTTACATATATAACTAGATGACTTATAAATACGCATATTATACGCATATTGCAATCTCAAGTTCTTTTTCACTTTGCTTTTTGATAAAAAATGGTCTTTATTTTCTTTTACAAATACAGAAATTTCAAAAATATAGATGCATGTCAGAGTTAGGAACTTAAAATCTTTAAATACATTTCTCAGTGATTCAAATTTGTCAAGTTTTAGCATGTTACGCAAGCATTTCTTTTGTAATATAAATGTGGACTGTAGATTTACTGAGTTACCCCAAAAAATTATACCATACATCAAAAGTGGGAAGACATACCCATAATATGCACTCTTTGCTGCTTCCACTGAAGCTACATTTGACAGAATAGATATAGCATAGCAGCTGCTAGAGATTTTCTTATTTATGTCCTCAATATGCGATTTCCAGTTCAAATGAGTATCAATGGTAACACCCAAAAATTTATTGTCTTGCACATTCTCTATTTGCTTATCATCGATAACAATATTTAACTTTAAAGGCATTTTCTTATAATTCCTAAACTCCATCAGCTTTGTTTTCCCAATGTTTACTTTTAAATTTAAAGAAGCTAGCCACTCTACTATTACATCCAGTGTTTTATAAATTTCATTCACAAAATCAGCATCATTTAATTTGTCATTTGTCAAAAATATTGTCGCATCATCAGCAAACAAAACACATAAGTGTTGAATGATCAGCGGTAGCTCGTTTATGTACACTAAAAATAGGGGCGGCCCGAGAATGCTTCCTTGCGGGACGCCTAAAAAAACTTTTTCAAAATCCGATAAGATGCGTACAGTAGTTTTTGATTTAGTGTCAAATGTATCTAATAATATTGCCTGTGTTCTATTTGATAGGTATGACTCCATTAACTTCAAAGCATTTCCCCGTATTCCAATATGTTCGAGCTGTTTTAATAATATTTTATGTATGACACAGTCAAATGCTTTTGACATATCCAGAAACATACCAATACAAGTTTTCTTATCGTCTATACCTTTCCATATTTGTTTCAAAATATTAAATATGGCTAATGATGTATTTTTCCCTTTTTGGAAACCAAATTGATTAACATTTATAATTTTGTTTTTATTTAAAAACGATATTATTCTTTCGTAAATGACTTTTTCGAATATTTTGGAAAAATTGGACAATAAAGCAATCGGGCGGTAATTATTCATATTATCCTTAGCACCTTGTTTGTAAAGAGGTTTTACTAGAGCTTTTTTCAGATCTTCTGGGAAGATTCCCGTGTCTAAAGTCAAATTTATAATAAAGGTCAATGGTTCAGCTATAAAATTTACACTTGATTTTATTAATTTCATGGGTATGTTATCCATGTCCCATGCTTTTTTTATTTTTTAATGATTTTATAGTTTTCTTAATTTCTTGGAAATCAACTGGAGCCATAAAGATGCTGTTTATGTTAGCATGTGACACTAGATTGTGTTTAACTGCATTTTGACGTAGTATGGAATTTTGTAAACTTAAAAAATGGGAATTCATTCGTTTCGCTATGTCATGAGGTTCATTGGTTACAATATCACCTATCCTTACACTTTCTAATGATTCTTTGATAACATTTATTTTTGATGTATTTTTTTTTATAATTTGCCACATACTTTTATTTTTATTATCACTACGTTTCAAATAATTTAGATTTGTATTTATTTTGGATTGTCTGGTTACAGATTTAAGAATTTTGCAGTATCCTACCTATTTTTAATAACGGAACAGTTAGTACTTCTTTGTTTTAAATATAACTTTCTTTTATTTTTACTAGCAATTAATATACCTTTTGTCTTCCAGTTAGGAGTATCATTATACTTTTTTTAATTTTCTTATTAGCTATACAAACTTCATCAACTAGATTGAAAATATCAAAGAATATTTTATAAGCATCATTGGGATTATTTTGAGTATATACATCTGTGAAATTAATTTGAGCTAAATATTTCAAGAAGACTTCTTCATACGCACCTATATCTCTTATAATAGTATACCAAAACTTTTCGTTAAAACTTCGACTTGAGAAAACTGAAATTAATTGACATGTATGATCCGATAAACCAACATCTAATACTTCAACAGAATATCGTTTGACATTAGTAATTATATTGTCAATGCAAGTTTGAGAGTGTGCGGTAATCCTAGTAGGGACAAATATTGTAGCATGCAACTTATGTGACTTAAACATATTCAATAACGATTCACTTCTGTAATTTTTGTCGAGTATATTAACATTGAAATCACCCATGACAAAAACACTCTTGTAACTATTTCTAGCTCTTATCCTGATCTTGTGTAGTACATATTCCATATTGCTGAGAAAAATCCCTATATCACTGTTTGGTGTTCTATATACACATATTACTAGATAATCTAATCCACAGATGACTACACCACAACATTCGAAGTGATTTTCAACTGACATTTCTGAAATCCATTGAATTTCACGACAATCAATAGTATTTTTAACATAAATTGCTACACCTCCCCTGTTTCTACGTTTACGGCAAAAATGAGCTACTATTTTGTATCCATGGATTTGAAATATATTTACTTCGCCATTACTTAAGAAAGTCTCACTGAAACCACATATATCTATATTTCTTTCATGCAATAATATTTCGAGTTGATCTTTTTTAGATTTAATGCTTTGTGTATTTAAATGAATTAACGTTAGCCTATTAGTATTATCCTTAGATGCGAAAAAAATCAGGATTATTGACAATATGTGTATTTTCACAGAGATTTTTTGCATGTTCATCATTTTTCAGTTTTTGTTTAAAAAAATATGAAATTTTATATTGCGTTGTATGTCCTTTAGATTTATTATTATTAGCATTTCCTGTTTTTAAAGTTTCCCTTTTAAAGTAGTGCGTAATTTGTTTTTGAATAGATTTTGTATTATTTTTGTTTACCTTTATAGTATTATCATTTATATATGCTATCCATTTATTCTTGTAATCAATACTGAGTATTTCCCTTAACATCAGTCTAGCAGTGTACAATTTCATATTTTGGTTAAAATTATCATAGCTTAGGGGTACAAACCTTGCATGATGAAATTGAGAACACACTAACCGTATTTCTTCATTTTGCTTAGTGTATATACAGTATACTATAACCTGCCCAGGAGTATGAAGAATAATTGTACCAAGTTTCGTTAAAATCCGTCGAGTAGTTTTTGTTTCTATAAGGAACATACACACAGACAGACAGACAGACAGACAAAAATTTTACTGATTGCATTTTTGGCATCAGTATCGATCACTAATCACCCCCTGATAGTTATTTTGAAAATATATTTCATGTACAGAATTGACCTCTCTACAGATTTATTATAAGTATAGATTGATGTTTGTTAAATGTTTTATTTAACGAGTGGTGTGCATGAAAACCTAAGAAACAAATATGTTTTGTCTTCTCTATTTTGAATCTTTTTGTGTGTCAGGCGATGTGTGTTTGGTTCAACACGGCGCTGCATATGCGGCTGAAGGTGCTCGCGGTGCGCCGCATGATGCGCTCGTTGCGGCTTAAGGGCCGGCGCCGGGACCCATGCGCCGCCGTCAGCCGGTAACTATATACAAGTACATATGCGGCTGAAGGTGCTCGCGGTGCGCCGCATGATGCGCTCGTTGCGGCTTAAGGGCCGGCGCCGGGACCCATGCGCCGCCGTCAGCCGGTAACTATATACAAGTACATATGCGGCTGAAGGTGCTCGCGGTGCGCCGCATGATGCGCTCGTTGCGGCTCAAGGGCCGGCGCCGGGACCCATGCGCCGCCGTCAGCCGGTAACTATATACAAGTACATATGCGGCTGAAGGTGCTCGCGGTGCGCCGCATGATGCGCTCGTTGCGGCTCAAGGGCCGGCGCCGGGACCCATGCGCCGCCGTCAGCCGGTAACTATATACAAGTACATATGCGGCTGAAGGTGCTCGCGGTGCGCCGCATGATGCGCTCGTTGCGGCTCAAGGGCCGGCGCCGGGACCCATGCGCCGCCGTCAGCCGGTAACTATATACAAGTACATATGCGGCTGAAGGTGCTCGCGGTGCGCCGCATGATGCGCTCGTTGCGGCTCAAGGGCCGGCGCCGGGACCCATGCGCCGCCGTCAGCCGGTAACTATATACAAGTACATATGCGGCTGAAGGTGCTCGCGGTGCGCCGCATGATGCGCTCGTTGCGGCTCAAGGGCCGGCGCCGGGACCCATGCGCCGCCGTCAGCCGGTAACTATATACAAGTACATATGCGGCTGAAGGTGCTCGCGGTGCGCCGCATGATGCGCTCGTTGCGGCTCAAGGGCCGGCGCCGGGACCCATGCGCCGCCGTCAGCCGGTAACTATATACAAGTACATATGCGGCTGAAGGTGCTCGCGGTGCGCCGCATGATGCGCTCGTTGCGGCTCAAGGGCCGGCGCCGGGACCCATGCGCCGCCGTCAGCCGGTAACTATATACAAGTACATATGCGGCTGAAGGTGCTCGCGGTGCGCCGCATGATGCGCTCGTTGCGGCTCAAGGGCCGGCGCCGGGACCCATGCGCCGCCGTCAGCCGGTAACTATATACAAGTACATATGCGGCTGAAGGTGCTCGCGGTGCGCCGCATGATGCGCTCGTTGCGGCTCAAGGGCCGGCGCCGGGACCCATGCGCCGCCGTCAGCCGGTAACTATATAGTGCTGTATTAAGTGGTGTACACATTAAGCGTTTTCCAACGCGCGCTTTGCTAACGCGCGTTTCGAGAACCAGGAGTTCTATTGAAGTGTACACATGCAAGCGCGCGATTCTGGTCAAACGCGCGTTCTCATATTTTACGTATGATCGCGCGTTGCGCGGGCGTTAGCTGCGCGCTTCGAGATACTTGGGCCGCCATTTTGTTGTACATTTGATCGCGCTCTTTGGTGTAGTATAGACGTCAGTTCAACGGAAAAATGGATACCGAACATTTTGACATAGATTTCTTTATTGATGAAATCCAAAAGCGACAAGCTATTTGGGACATAAAATGTCCCGATTATAAAAAAAATAAGACGCTAAAAAGACGTAAAATAAAAGAAAATACGCCGTCTTTTATAGCGACGGCAGAGGAGCCACACACAAGTAATCACTTGGGCATCCATTTTCGGACTGCCAGAAACACACCCTACTAAACGCTCGCCGAACGCCCAGCCGAGCGCGGCGTGTGTATGCAATCAACGCGCGCTCAACGCAACTCCGAGCGCCCAATGTGTACCCGCCGTTAGTACGAGTTTTAAAATAGGGTTGATGACTAATTTTTTTTTCTTCGTTTATCAGGTAGATTATCAAAAAGTATTGGACACGTATTTTTTCTTTTTTCACATAATATAAACATTGCAGAGATATATTGATTTGAAAAGTCGCATGACGTCACGTTTGAGTACACATTTAAGCGAATATTCACTAAAAAGTGACGTCACGAGCCCCTACTCTCAAACTTTAACGCGCTATAACTTTGTCATTTTTTGGTTGATTGTCCAAAGAAAAAATACGCGTCCATTACTTTTTGATCATCTAACTGACGGACTAAATAGAATTTCGTTTACTGTACCCCGTCATATAGTTTTCGTGAGCTCGAACTCGTACTAAGGGTACTGCATGCAACACACATGCGGCTAGTCCCTCCGATTCCTTCGGCCTAGGCACGTCTTAAGAGTAACCAGACGACAAAATCACCCGCGCCAACGAGCCTCCGACTCCTCCCACACAGGCCACAAGCACCGTCACTACACAGCTAGCATACTTGCCCACTAGCTTAGCATTAGGCAGACACCGCACCCGTAGGATAAGTGTGCGAAGACCCGGTCTACACACGACACGCTATACCAGGTCTTCTTCTTCTTCTTCCTCAACCACTATCCACCCACTGCTGAGTGAAGGTCTCTTCCATTGCACTCCATCTATTGCGATCTCGGGCAGACTGCATCCATTTCGCTCCGGCTATCCTAATGATGTCATCTGTCCACCGGGCTGGTTGACGCCCCACGTTTCTGCGTCCGGTTCTCGGCCTCCATTCCATTACCTTTCTGCTCCACCTGCCATCCTCGCGTCTACAGACATGTCCCGCCCATTTCCATTTGCTGCGGGAAATTACACAAGCGATGTCAGGTAACTTTGTCGTTCTTCGAATGACCTCATTTCTGATTCGGTCTCTTCGAGAAATGCCCAACATCGCCCGCTCCATGTCCCGCTGCGCAACTTAAAGTTGGTGTAAATGTTGCTTTGTGATGGTCCATGTTTCGGCACCATAAGTCATGACTGGAAGCACACATTGCTCATAGACACGGCGTTTGAGGTTTATTGGGATATTGCTCTTGAAAACATCGTTCAGTTTGCCAAACGCCGCCCATCCTAATTGTATACGACGTTGGATCTCGCGAACCTGTGTTTTCTTCCCCAGAGAAATTGTTGTGAAAGAAATTGTACTATACCAGGTACAGGTACGTAACTGGGCGTTTCTCTTGCCCCCAACGACAACAGCTAACTAGAGACGAGGTCCGAGTCTCAGAGATCCCCTCTCGTTGAGACGACACTCACAGGTTCGAGTGGTCTAGAGGCTCCAGACGTAGAGGAGACTCCCCTCGTGGAGAGATGCCATCCGCCTGGAATACCTTTAGAGGCACTCGCCAATTCTCGGCTTGAGATCACCTTAGGATCTCGCCGTCCTCAAAAAAAAAACACGCGGCTGAAGGTGTTGTAGCGTCAGCGAGTACTTTGTGTCTAGCTAGAACACACCGAGCACAGAATTTACAGCCGACCCACATCAATGTTATTATAGAAAAACTAGTATAGTATATAAGATGCAAATCGGAATGAATGATACTCTTAGTTTTCATGCGACGTACTGGCTGTTTAATTTCTCATCTCCCATCACTAGGGGCCAAAGTGCCGCACGCCGCTGTGAGCTAAACGCTGCTGTCAGCCGGTAACTGTCAAGTCAAAATTTCTACATTCAAATTAAAAGCTTTTACGTAAAAGAGTTCTTTTGAATGATCCAAATGTTTTTCCCTACCATCCATGTTATGGACATTTTTAGTCGTGGAGAAAAAACAGGAAAAAAATACTTCACAGCGCTAAATTATTATGTAAAAATGTTTACAAAATATTATATTCTTAGTTTCAATACAGAATCAATTGAAAATATACATTAATTCAAGTTCAATATCGTCGACTAGCATTTTAATTGCTGTGTCATACAGTATAAATACAAATAATTTATTGTTTATTTATATCAGCTATATCTAGATAATATTACCGCTGGCAACACCCGTTCACAAGCATGACGCATGTGCCTGAAGGACTGTATCCAGGTCATGAATAAATTAAAAAAAAATGTACCAGCCATCGCGTCCCTCAAGCATATTTTAGGGAGTCGAATTTGAAGCATAATCACCGTCATCATCAGCCTAATAATTTCCCCCCTGCTAAAGCATAGGCCTTGGCTATGGAATAGGGAGATTGGGCGATGTCCCACCATGTGGGCCTAATACGGTTTGGTGGGTGCTGACGAGTGCAGATGCAGCCTTAACATGCCTTCCAAAGCACCTTCGTGCTCCTAAGAGTGCGCCGCACAAAATTTTTGGTCACACATGATGACGGTCGTTGTGAAAGTTTCTTTAACATCCACGTTCGCAGACCTAACGTGCTAACCAATTGCTTCATCGAGCTAACTACTCTACGCAGCACTATCTTTGAAAAAAAATGGATGCGTGTAACTTATGTACGAGCGTGAGAAGTTATACTTCTTTAGCATCATTAAAAATATTTTTTAATTGCATGCAAATAATTAATAATTACAATAAAATAATAAAAGGACTGGAAAAGGATAGTTAACACAGTCAATTAAGTTCAGTTTTAATTTGAAAAATTAAATAAATATTCAAAATATTCAATTAAAATCACTGCTAAATTTAAATTATTAGTCCATATGTAATTAGCACTTGTACGTAATTAAAACACGTTGTGTCTATATAGAAACTAGAAACATGTGGATAAATATTATAAATATGAAAACAGTGATCAGAGGCGACGAGCGTGCCAACATTGTTTTTGACAACGCGATCATCTTATGGAGCTCCGTGGATCGTTCAAAGTACCTTTCGAACAGATCGACTTAGTGGTTAATAATCCACCATTATTAGACACTAACATTCATAACGCGCCCGCGGCCAACTTCATGGTGTTCCTATTGTGTTACAGTGATGCGCGCGCATCTCGAAATTTCACTCACATGATTTTTTCATAACGCGCCCGCGCCCAACTTCATGCTGTTACTTTTGGCTTACAGTAATGCACGCACATCTAAAAATTTCACTCTCATCATTTTTTCATAACGCGCCTAAAGAAGTATAACTTCAAAAAACACGACAGATAAAAAGAGAAATACTGGATTTTGAGTCCAGTTTTAAAACTAACATTTTATTATTATTATCACACATCTATGTAATTTATTCGTGTCTATAACCTGTGCGTGACTTGTAACTAAATAAATAGTTATGTTATATTGCGACAAAGATGTTTATGAATGTGCGGAAAATTTAACGCCGCTGTCTTTGTTCACTTCATATTTTGTGTGTCAGTTACGGTCATTTACGTAGAAAGTGGCGCCCTCTGAACTGTCACTCGCATTCATAAAGATCCTTGTCACAATGTAGTAAATTGTGATTCGAATTCAATAATTTCTCACACATTAAATTAGCTAATTGTTCAGGCAATCTTCTAATGGCGAGACGAGTCGACATTGCCAAGTCCGCTTCAACATTAGCGGTGATCCGAGCAGTTCTAGCAACAGCGAGGCCAGCAACCACTCTGAAGTTAGCAAGGAAAGCCCCAAAGACGATGAATCTATTAGAGACGACACTTCAAAGTCAAATAGTGACGTGGAAACCAAAGACTGTGAGGAGAAGGTGGTTGACGATGAAGTTGATAGCGGCATCTCTCATGGTGAAACTTCAGGTTGGTCTTGGTTATTAAGAATTGCGTTGAAAGATTGTGTTGTTTAAGGCATACTGCCAGTCGTTTTACACCAGCCAATTATGGGAAAATTATATGAAGAATGTTTTTAATACTCTTCGTGTACAGTACAACAACGCCTTGAGGGCAATACTTGATATATATGTATTGTTAAATAGACTAAAGAAATCATTCCACAGGAGACTGTACGAGTCAAACAATAATATTATTGCATCATTAAACTCAACATTAACATATATCAACTTGGTAAAGTAATGTCACATACACTGTCTGTCATCTACATATCGCCAATGTCTGTAAAGTGCAATGAAAATTTTTAATAATGTATGTTAATTAATTAATTTAATTTATTTCATTCAATCTAATATGTAAAACTATGTCATATAGTTTTTATTATATTTTATTTATTTTTATTAATATTATTGTTATTGTCTGAATTTAATTTGAATAATTGCCGAATTGTGATACAATGATTTAATTTTAAGACAAAATTGGACAAAATGCAATTGTTATTGTAATTTTTAATATGGGTTGCTGTGCCTGAAATAAACACTTATTATTATTATTATTGCTGGGATCGTATTATAAAGCCACAATAAAACAGCTATATTATGCCCGGCTCTTAACTTGGCTATTCGTGTTTGCTATTTATAAACTTGACAACAGTCTGTCCCTTACATACTTTATAAAGAATGACAAGGACAGACTGATGTCAAGTTAACAAATAGCAAACACGAATAGCCAAGTAAAGTGCCAGTATTAAAAAAATATAATCGTATTAATAATTTGCGTCTTCAACTAACTTGCACTATGTTTAAAACTTTCAAGGTTATCAACTTATTTTTTTTTGGGTTCCGTACTTTTATGATTAATAACACTATAGTATTTTTATTGATCCGTACTTCAAAAGGAGAAAAGACGGATCTGATCACGGAGTAACTGTTACTGTGTTATCATGGCGCTTACTCTCAATATCTTTTGAGTAAAAAATATCAAAACCTAATGAATAGATTACTAGAAAAAAATGGGTGCGTGTACTTATGTAGGCGCGTGAGAAGTTATCCTTCTTTGGCATAGTTTAAAATTAGTTTTTAATTGCATGCAAATAATTAATTACAATAAATTAATAAAAAGTCACGAAAAGGACACAGTCAATAAAGTTCAGTTTTAATTTGAAAAAATAAATAAATAATCAAAATATTGAATTAAAATCGCTACTGAATATAATTTATTAGAACATATGTGATTTGCACTTGTATGAAACTCAAACACGTATTCCGAATATACAAACTAGAAACATGTGGTGGATAAATATTATAAATATGAATACCTATAACTGTTACTTTATTACAAAAAATAAAGATGTGGTTTTTGGTTCTACTACACCAATGGTCAAGAGATGGCGCTGTAGTCTCCTGAATCGCGCTTTGGTTCCGTTGTTCCAGATTAATAAATACTTTTGATATTATAAATATGAATACCTATAACTGTTACTTTATTACAAAAAATAAAGATGTGGTTTTTGGTTTTACTACACCAATGGTCAAGAGATGGCGCTATGGCGCTGTAGTCTCCTGAATCGCGCTTTGGTTCCGTTGTTCCAGATTAATAAATACTGTTGATAGGCCTTCACAATGCAGTCGTTAGCACCCACTAAATACAGATTCTATTTCTATTTTGTTGGTAGATTTTCTTAATGTGCGGTAAACACAAAAGTAACGCATGAAGTTGGTCGCGAAAAAATGGGTGCGTGTACTTATGTAGGCGCGTGAGAAGTTATCCTTCTTTGGCATAGTTTAAAATTAGTTTTTAATTGCATGCAAATAATTAATTACAATAAATTAATAAAAAGTCACGAAAAGGACACAGTCAATAAAGTTCAGTTTTAATTTGAAAAAATAAATAAATAATCAAAATATTGAATTAAAATCGCTACTGAATATAATTTATTAGAACATATGTGATTTGCACTTGTATGAAACTCAAACACGTATTCCGAATATACAAACTAGAAACATGTGGTGGATAAATATTATAAATATGAATACCTATAACTGTTACTTTATTACAAAAAATAAAGATGTGGTTTTTGGTTCTACTACACCAATGGTCAAGAGATGGCGCTGTAGTCTCCTGAATCGCGCTTTGGTTCCGTTGTTCCAGATTAATAAATACTTTTGATATTATAAATATGAATACCTATAACTGTTACTTTATTACAAAAAATAAAGATGTGGTTTTTGGTTTTACTACACCAATGGTCAAGAGATGGCGCTATGGCGCTGTAGTCTCCTGAATCGCGCTTTGGTTCCGTTGTTCCAGATTAATAAATACTGTTGATAGGCCTTCACAATGCAGTCGTTAGCACCCACTAAATACAGATTCTATTTCTATTTTGTTGGTAGATTTTCTTAATGTGCGGTAAACACAAAAGTAACGCATGAAGTTGGTCGCGAAAGCGACCAACTTCATGCTGTTAAAATTTTGTGTTACAGTGATGCGCGCGCATCTTAAAATTTCACTCTCATCATTTTTTCATAACGCGCCTAAAGAAGTATAACTTCAAAAATTCCACGCGGACCATGCTACAGACGGGATTGTATAATTTTTTCAAGTAATATTTTCTTTAGATTTAAACACCAAGCAGTTACATGCTAAAAATTTATAGATATGAAAACATAAGCTGTGGAACAACCACTCTTTTTCATTCCCTAAAGAGCGTGATAAGAACAAATCTGCTTTCAAAATTATCAATAGCTAATACGAATAACCTAAAGAATAGAGTATTTGGCAGTATTAAAAATAAAGCGCCAATTATTAGGGTCTGTGTTTAGAATGAATATTGGCAGGGTTTCTACTATTTTTACAAAAAAATATTCATAATTTTACTAAAAACCCACGAAAAAGATTATAGTTTTCTTATCGATTGTAACGTGACCCAAAACGCTTGGATTTGGCGGAGCCTAAAGTGACGTCACACGCAAGTAAACTTCCGGTTAAAGTGACATTGCATTGTATCGTTTGACGTTTTAATAACAGTCGTGTGACGTCACACACTAGTAAAACTCCATATTATCCAGAAAAACGTTTTTGCGGCAACTTGAAAATGGAGTTTTTGATTTGGTTATTTTTACTGAAATACGCAACAGAATGATGAATATCCACTTTTTTTCGGACTCCATAAACATTAGTCAATAACGTGAGATCTTTTTGTAAAACTTGTCAAATACCCTATTATAAGAAACAAAACAGGAAGAAAAAATAATAGTCCTTGCTATGTTTCTTACCGGTTCTTCTCAGTACAAGGTCTCGTGCCGTAGATTTACGAACCAATGGCGTAGCGTTTGACTTTTACAAGAGCTTGTAACAGCCTAGACTAAATAAATGAATTTGTTTTTTTTTTTAATTTTATAACAGGGTGTTTGACAATTATAGAAAACGATTTCACGTTATTTACTAATATTTATGGAGTCTATAAAAAGTGGATATTTTTTAATTCTGTTGTGTAATTCAATAATAAAAACGAAATAAAAAATTCAATTTTCAAGTTGCCGCGAGAACGTTTCCCCAAACATTATGGCGTTTCACTATCGTGTGACGCCACACGACTATCATTTAAACATCAAACTATACAATGTAATGTCACTTTGTCCGGAAGTATATTAGCGTGTGACGTCATTTTATTCTGGGCCAATCCCAGGCGTTCGTTCACGTGACCATGCAGCAAAAACATCAATTCTATTTGATGATTCTATAGAAAAATATTTAATTATTTGTTCTCTCAGAATAGTATAATCGCTGCTAATATTCATATTAAATACGGATGCCAGCAATTGGTACATTATTTTTCATACTGTCTAATAGCCTATTAATGTGACGATGATCTCCGTGGCCGCGTGGTTTATACGCCGGGTTTCATGGTGTCGCCGACTCGAGAGGTCCGGGTTCGAATCCCGGTGGGGGCAGATGTTTATGCCATGAATACGAGCATTTGTATTCCAGTCATGGATGTTTAATATGTATTTCTATATAAATATACTTATATAAAGTACAATATATGTATTCTATCCGTTAACCTAGCATCCCATAACACAAGCTTTACAGTGCTTAATTTGGGGTTAGGCTAATTGGTGTGAGTGTTGGAAATATTTATATATTTATTTAATGTCCGTCACCAAAATAACAGGCAACTCTATCTCTCCAGATCGTACAGGCGATGCCACGCCTGAAATAGTGATATCAGACACCAAATACGGTACTGCCGACACCACCGGCTCCACTGACAGCGGATACAGTACGGGAACACTGGCGGAGTGTCCGCGATCTCCAGATGTGTTCGAATTGGGGGCTCTAGACGATCTCACGAGATTGAGGCTGCTCGACCAATGTGCTGTGTCTCCGTACAGGTATGTTTAATGTACCAGAAGCATCGAGATTAAATACCCTAGATCCTGGATACCGAACCTGGGGGTAATTACCCCTCCGGGGGTAAATCAGCCATACTTCGGGGGTAACAAAGAACCTAATTATTTGGTCAAATCTTAATAAAAAGAAAATCTCTTATCTATTAGACAAGTCCGTCCGTCCGTCTGTCTGTGGTGCTGTTTCAGCGGTCAAACCGTAAGAGATAGATAAAGAGAATATTTAAGTTATAAGTTAAGAATAGTCTGATAAGACTACAAACCGGATTTGAGTAACGTAGCACTTCCGGTTTTCGAGAAATCACGAATTTCAAACGAAACTACACAAAATCTCCGAAGTTCTCAATTAATTAAATACATTTTTTTTTTATAAATCAGGTTTTGGTGAACATTTGGTTCACTGGTTTGCTAGTACTATATAATAATACTACTAAATAGAAAATGCGCTCCTTCTTGCTAGTGAGCCCGCGGGGTGCCGAGTGTGGGAAGCGGGGCGAGACTTTCTCCTGATGATGACATTATTAGAGACGAAGATGTAGCGGCCAAATTGAAATTTCTTGAAATGATGATAACATTTGAAAGTCGGGGTTACATCTGTTTTCCTAATAGGTTACAGGGGTAACCGTATTGGAAAGGTTAGAAAACACTGCCCTAGATACACCACGAGCGCTCAAAATGTGTCCCGATCAAGAAGTGCTTGAACTTCACTCAAGTACTTCTTGGTTTACAGTCACGCGCGGACCGTTGAAAAGTCAACATGCCGAAGAGTACCGTAAAAAAAATACGAATAAAATACTTATAGTACCTAAAGTGTCGTTTTTTCGACAGGTAGCTAATCAATATTTGTTAATTTAACGCATTTGCAGCAAATATTTGTGATATTCAAATGCATGGTGCGTCAAATATTTGTTATATAATTTTTATAATTTTAAAGCATGTAACTGCTTGATGTTTAAATTTAAAGAAAATATAACTAGAAAAAATTCCACGCGGACCAGGCAGCGGAAGGGACTCGAACCCGCACCCTTCGCAATCCGGGCGAATGCACTGACCAATTATGCTACCGCGACCCTCGCGGACCGCGTCGAAATTCCTCTAGCCTTTCTTAAGCTGCAAGACAGCGCCGTTATTCATAGGTAACCCACAATGTCATGCCTTAAAGGGTGCGGGTTTGAGTCCCGTCTGCTGCCTGGTCCGCGTGGATTTTTTTCTAGTTATATTTTCTTTATATTTGTGATATTCAAATGCATAGTCTGTTGTACGTCACAGCCGTCTCTTTTTCTCGCGGTCCCTATCTGCTATATTGCTAACAGCGCATTCAGAATTGCACGTAGTCTCAAAACAATAAGGTCTATATTCTTCCGGTTAGATTTAAACAAGCTATTATTTTTGTTTCGCAGAGAGTATCACCACGAGATGCTGAAGACTCAAGGCGTGCGACGGTGCATGATGTTCATCAATAAGCTACGCAAAAACGTACTGCATAAGGTCCACATTACATTGGAGAAGCCCGATGTAAGTTATTAGTAACGAATTGGCTATTTGACAGTAAACCAATTGTTGGCATCTGTACTCAATATGAATATTAGCAGTGATTTTACTAATCGGGGAGAACGAATAATTAATAACGTTTGTAAAAAAAATATTAAATAGAAACGATTTTTTTTGTCTCATGGTCACGTGACCGAAACGTCTGGGATTGGTGAAAACTAAAATGACGTCACACGCTAGTAAACCACCGGTCAATGTGACATTACATTGTATAGTTTGACGTTTTAACGACAGTCGAGTGACGTCAAATCATGTCCAGAGAAAAGTTTTCGCGACAATTTTAAAATTGTTTATTTAATTAGTTTTTCTTTCTGAAATATGCAACAGATTGATGAATATCCATTTTTTGGAGATCCTCTCCTCCATAAATATTAGTAAATAACGTGAGATCGTTTCCTATAACTTGTCAAATGCCCTTTTAAAAATGATATGGAAGATTTGCTCTCTAACAAAGGCTGCTAAAACATATTCCCAAACTACAACTAAACTTCAATACTAACGTGACAAGCACACAGATTAAAACAAAATACTTTGACAAATCAATTATCTGCAAATTAATTCGGCTATCCATTCATTGGGTTAGATATTGTTAAATGGAAATCCCAACCAATCCCATTATCGGCGTGTTGATCACAGTTTTTTCGTTTTTTTTTTAAAGGCAGAGGTTACTTCCTCAGACGGTCGCTGAAATTTTACTTCTCTTAAATACGAACCCGAGAACAATATTACACTGTTCAACGAGTGAAGAAAATGATCGATTACCATATCGGGAATAGCACAAAAAAAAACAGCAATTAAAAAACCTGCACGTTATAATACGATTCAAATAAGAATAGGAAAGCCAATGACCTGCATCTGTCAAATGTCGCTTGAAAAGTACGGTTTGCAAAAAAACTCGAAACACTTTTAGCGCTCAGGGGGCCAATCTCCTAACGAAAATGCTTTGGGAATCGCTAACGCTTACGATTTTATATTGTTATTTCTAGCCGCCTGAGGTTTTCGAATACCTCACGCTTATTTTTTTTAATATTATTATTACCAATGCAAAAGAAAAAGAAAGAGCGCGAGGCATTTGAATACCTCAGGCGGCTAGGAATAACAAAATAAAATCGTAAGCGTTAGCGTTTTCCAAAGCATTTCCGTTAGGCGATTGGCCCCCAGTTGATTCTAGAATAGAATCAAACATTTTTAAACTAGCAATAAACAAATGTTGATAATTAATATTAGTTGTTTTTTTTTTCATTTATTGAGCTTTGGCGATGGATGGTTGATAACCTAAATCGTCAACCGAATGTCACTTTATGGTACGTTCAAAAACTCGATTTAAAACTTTCGTTTACATATAGGATGCATGTTCGTATGTGACCTGTATGATTATTCATAACTTTTCCGGCAGTAATGCAGAGATGAGCGAAATTGAAGAGCTAGATTCTGATTTTTTTTTCACACAGTCTTAATAAAGAAATCTACTATTAAAAATCGGTTGTGTTCTTTCTCAAACTTAACAAATTAATTTTATTAAAAAATCTGATGTTTTGTCTCACCTAATCTTAGTAAATAAGTTTTATTAATTAGCAACATTTTTTTTGCTCACTCTACCTATTTGGTTTGAATTGACAGCTATGACGTCAAAATATGGCGCCCAGTCGGTCCTATTCTTAGTTGAATCGCATTATAACAATAAATTTCCATAGACTTTTCCCGCCCGCTTAATAGTACAACAGTAACGAGGTACTTTCTGCTTTATTTTTAAACACGAATAAAGCACTTTCTGATTAGATTTAGTATAAAAACTTTCGTCTACACTGAAGCGCATCGGAGGTGCATCATTATTAAAATGATAATGTGGCAAAACAAACGGAAAACTTACATTAAATTTTAAGAATATATACTATCTTCTATCTCCCTATTCCATCCATAGAGAAGGCCTGTGCCCCAGCAGTGGGGACATTCATCATCATCATCATCAGCCTATTAATGTCCCCACTGCTGGGGCACACGCCTTCCCGATGGATGGAATAGGGAGATTGGGCCATGACCCACCACGCGGGCCCAGTGCGGAACGACTATAGATGCAGCCGGGACCAACGGCTTAACGTGTCTTCCGAAGCACGAAAGAGCTCAAGATAGTAAATTTTTGGTCACCCATCCGATGACCGACCACTGCGAAAGTTGCTTAACTTCAACGATCGCAGCCGAACGCGCTAACCACTTGCGCCATCGAGCTCCTTAGTGGGGACATTAATAGGCTAATAATGATGATGGTACTATCTTGCTTCAGAGTATGCCTTCAGACAGTTTCCAAGAGGAGGAGACGGTGCGAGTGTTTGACGACACCAAGGACCTCGACAAGGCGGAACCGCCGCGAGACGAGGAGCTCGAGAAGACAAACGAACTCAGACGGTAAATATATAAATACCAATATTTCCAACACTTATAATGCGATTCAAATAAGAATAGGAAAGCCAATGACCTCTATCTGTCAAATGTCGCTTGAAAAGTACGGTTTGCAAAAAAAAATTATGAAACCCTTTAAATAAAACTACTTTTTACGGGTTAATGCACGTAAAAACTAGTTTTATTTAATGAGTGATGTGCGTGAAAACCTAAGAAACAAATATTGAAACCCTTTTTAGCACTCGGCTAGTTCAAGAATAAAAACCAAACATTTGTTAAGAAATAATAACAAATATTGATAATTAATATCGGTTGATATTTTTTTTACTTATTAAGCTTTGGCCATGAATGGTTGATAACCTAAATCGTCAACCAAATGTCACTAAGTTGCGTTCAGAAACTCGATTTCAAACTTTCGTTTACATAAGGATGCATGTTCGTATGTGACCTAGTAATAGTGCATGATTATTCATATAACTACTCCGGCGGTAATGCAGAGATGAGCGGAATAGAAGAGCTAGATTCTGATTAATGTTTTTTCTAACAGTCTTAATAAATAAATATTATTAAAAATCGGTGTTTTTTTTCTCTCAATATTAGTACTTAAATAATGTTATTAAAAAATCTGATGCTTTTTTTCACTTCATCTTAGTAAATAAGTTTTATTAAATATAAACTTTTTTTGCTCACTCTACCTATTTGGTTTGAATTGACAGCTATGACATCACAATATGGCGCCCAGTCGGTCCTATTCTTAGTTCAATCGCATTATACATATAATTAGTGTAGCCACTAAGTAAGCACTGTAAAGGTTGTCTTATGGGATGCTATGGTAACAAATAGAATACATATATCATTATATAGTATATCCAGAAATACATATAAACATCCATGACTTAGGTACAAATACTTCAAATTCATCATACTAGCATTCGCACTACCGGGATTCGAACCTGGGACCTCTGAGTCGGCCGGCTTACACACCACTTGGCCACGGAGGTCGTCAAAAATATAAATGCAATACACAATAATATTAATAATAATAAATAAATATATTTTCATCCCACCACCTCGGAAAGTGTAATTTTGCGCTTCGAAATCTGGCTGGAAAATTCTATTTTATTCGCTTGAGCGCCAAAGTAGATTTGAATTTAGAACATCACATATAATGAGTACTCAATATAATTGTAAATTCAAAACGTCATTAAACCTATTTAATGTAACCTCTATGGTGCCAAATTTATGATTAGAACTTTTTAAATTGTGAAAAAATTTAAATTTGGAACCTTCTTGGTTTCTTTGTTTTATTTGCGTGCTTCGCGCCATTCTAGTTTTTCACGTTTTATTGCTTAAATATTTTGTCATTATAAATTGTTTTCTTTTTCATTTTGTCATTTCCTCGCTGAGGTGGGATGAAAAGTTACGTATTGCACTCGAGTGGAAAGATTTTTCACCTTGTGCTCGTTTGTTTCCCTCGCTGACGCTCAGGATTCTAATTTAGAATCACTCGCTGCGCTCGTGATTCAACTTTAGAATCCTTCGCTTGCTCGGTCATCCAAATCGAGCACGCGGTTAAAAAGGAACTTTCCACTCTTGTATAATAAATAACTATTATCCACACTCATGTCGAAATATTCGAATTGCGAAATTAAAGATGGTGTTACAAAGACGAGCTTTATAAACGCACATAGGTAAAATTAAAAATAAATCTCATGACAGTGCATTTGACAGTATGAAAAATAATGTACCAATTGTTGGCATCTGTATTTAATATGAATTAGCAGCGATTTTGCTATTCTGAAACAACAAATAATTAATAACATTTCTATAAAATCATTAAATAGAAATGATTTTTTTTGCTGCATAGAGCAAAACCATAGTCACGTAACCGAAACCGCATGGGATTGGCCAAAACTAAAATGACGTCACACGCTTGTAAACTTCCGGCTGAAGTGACATTATTAACGTTGTACCGTTTGACGCAATAAAGCCTAGAGAAACGTTTTCGCGGCAACTTGAAAATAGATTTTTTTAATTTAGTTCTTTTCACTGAATCACATAACAGAATTAAAAAAAAAACCGGCCAGGTGTGAGTCCGACTCGCGCACCGAGGGTTCCATACAAACCTGTAGGTATATTTTAATAATTATTAAAAATATTTTTTTATTTCAAGATGTAACTAAAAAATTACGGGTTTCGCAATTTTTCCTTTATCCGTACTATAAGACGTTACTTCGTACCAAATTTCAAGATTCTAAGTTCACGGGAAGTACCCTGTAGGTTTTGATTCCCGTGCAAGTTTCGAAAATATGCGGAAATTTGCGGCATAAACGGCTGTATCTTTTGATTGCTTTTGCTTAGAAGTTTGATTTTTTTCACAGCTCCAAGGGACAGTAGACCTGAGTATTAGATACGAATTTCAGTTTGATACCCCCACGCGTTCCTGAGAAACACCGTCTTGACAGACGGACGGACGGACAACAAAGTGATCCTATAAGGGTTCCGTTTTTTCTTTTTGAGGTCCGAAACCCTAAAAATATCCATCTTTTATGGACTACTATAAATATTAGAAAATAACGTGAGCTCTTTTTTTTGAAACTTATCAACTACCCTTTTTCTAGAAAATTAATAAGATCAATTGAGTAAGTTATACAGGGTGTTACAAAAATACAAATAAAGCTTGAAGGGCGTTGAAGTACATCATATAAGGAGTCTTCTCTAATTTTCTTAAAATATTTGCATGAAGTTTAAACTTTTTATAAAAACAGTTATTTTTAATGATTAATAAAAATATCGATCATTTTAAGACACGTCACTAGTTCGAGGATCATTAAAAATAACTGTCTTTATAAAAAGTTAAAACATTACGCAAATTTTTAAGAAAATTAGAGTGGACTCCTTATATGATGTACTTCAAAGCCCTTCAAGCTTTATTTGTATTTTTGTAACACTCTGTATTGTAAAACAAATGGAATCAGATGATATTTATGCATAATTTGAGATATAAGTGGTTTAATACTAATTAGGTTCCTTACATACATAACTGTTTAATAATTAAATTCTTTTGTAATTTTTATCTTTTACTGTACTGTATATTGCGATACCCTGACAGGGTTCACGTTAGGTACTATAAGCATTTTGTAACCATCGCATCGATGTAACCACATGAGTGCAATAAATTGAATTGAGCTGAGTTTCTTGCCGGTTCTTCTCAGTACAAGGTCTCCCGCCGTAGTTTTGCGAACCGATGGCGTAGCTTCTTGACCTTCACAAGTGCTTGTAACAGCCTAGACTGAATAAATGACATTTCATTTCATTTCATTGAATTGAATAGATACGGCAGTTGGTCTGCCGAATGCCTCGCGATGAGGCTGCCGTCGTACCGGAACCACTTCCTGCTACTGAGCAGCATTTGTATGGAGGCAGTACACGACTACCTGTCCCTGAGGCTCGAGACGCGCCCGGAGAGACCGTCCTGTCTCACTGTCAAACAGGTATAAACGGCTATTTCAGTATTTAGGCTTAGTTCTGGGTATCTAATAGAGTTAGAGTTAGAGAGGAGCTCGATGGCGCAGGTGGCTAGCGCGTCCGACTGCGATCGTTGAAGTTAAGCAACTTTCGCAGTGGTCGGTCATTGGATGGGTGACCAAAAATTTACTATCTCGAGCTCCTCTGTGCTTCGGAAGGCACGTTAAGCCGTTGGTCCCGGCTGCATTTGCAGTCGTTAGCACCCACCAATCCGCACTGGGCCCGCGTGGTGGGTCTTGGCCCAATCTCCCTATTCCATCCATAGGGAAGGCCTGTGCCTCAGCAGTGGGGACATTAAAAGGCTGATGATGATGATGATGGTGATGATCTAATAGAGTTCGCTATGACAGGGGTGACGACTGTGGAACTTTAAATAAAAGGGTGTATGGTAAATCACTGACTGTTTATTCACTTCACCAAGATAGTTCGCAACGACTGTAACTGAGCAACGATTCGTTCTTAGAATGATACGCGAGGCTATTGAGATTAAAAAAATATCCAAATTTCAATAGGGAAGATCGTTGGTATATACCACCAGCTTGGGAACCCATTATACAGGAGATAAAATCCCAACCCCGAGCACACACTGCAAGACCAACAGATACTATTTGTTCTTTTTGTTTGCATAATTTAACATAAGAAGGAGATAGAAAGCCTCTCTTGAGTTTTTTTCGCCGGTTCTTCTCAGAAAGGTCTTCCAATTTTGGAACCGGTGGTAGTGTACGGTAGTTAGGGTCGAATAAATAAACTCAAAATTACAAAAAAGAATTTAAAATAAAATACTTTATTATGTAAATTAAATAATAAATTCATACATAGACAATAAAACTTTAAAAATCGAACAATGAAATAACCGAACGCTCAATAAAAGTCTTTCGAAGGTAGCTCGACAAATTAAATAAAAGTTTGATTCTGACAACGTAGCCTGTAATAAAGGCTACGAAACGTCAATAAATAAATAAAGTTTCGTGCATTAACCCGTAAAAACTTGTTTTATTTAAGGAGATTTACTGTCATTTTATCATTTGTTACAGCTAATCCACGAACTGAAGGAAGGTCTGGACATATCGACGGAAATGCGTCACGACTTCGTCGGCAACGTGGGCGCCGCGCTACACGGATATGACGTCACGCCGTCCGCCCGTAGAGACCTGCTGTTGGTTCTACGGACATACGACGCTACCGTCGAGAGTGTGCTCAAGGTATAGTCATCATCATCATCAGCCTAGTAATGTCCCCACTGCTGGGGCACAACCCTTCCCTATGGATGGAGATTGGCCTTGACCCACCACGCTGGCCCAGTGTGGATTGGTGGATGCTAACGACTGCAGATGCAGCTGGCCAAAATAATTTACTACGTTAAGCCGTTGTAACGTGCCTTCCGAAGCACGGAGGAGGTCATGATAGTAAATTATTTTTTTGGTCACCCATCCAATGACCGACCACTGCGAAAGTTGCTTCACTTCAACGATCGCAGCCGAAATCAAGGTAAAGTAACGAGACGAATTGATATACTGTAAAAAATTATAATGTTAATACATGATTTTTAAAGTGTCCGGTTTGCGATTGTGTTAGTAAAATAATTAGTTTGTGTTATGGCTACCTGTATAGGACACGCTCGTTTTCATACAATTTGAAGCACATGTAGTGTCAACTACAATCTAGGTCTGTGGTTTTGACATTGTATATCATATCCACAGCAATGTCTCTCCTACCTATCATTGATGTCGGAGACAGGACATGTGGCGCAAGTTAAGCTTCAGATCGAGTTGATCTTGAGCAGAATGGTTTACTAATCTAGATGTTTTTAATTAGGTTTTTAGACGCAGGCGTTTAGAGTTTATAATATGATTTCTGATGCTTATAAATACACTTATTTGACTGTCATTTTCAGTAAATTCTAATTTTGGTGAAAATCCCATTACCGCTACTTCTATTATTGAATATGAATATATTGAATTGGGACTCAGCATGTTAAGTTTATCCACAGCAATATCTCTCCTATCTATCATTGATGTCAAAGACAGAACACTTGACAAAAGCATGGCTTCAGATAGAATGGGCGTTCACCGCCACATTGGTTTCGTAATCTTAACTAACCTTATATGTGTATCAGATCCACAGCAATACTTCTCCTATCTATCATTGATGTCGGAAACAGAACACATGGCAAAAGCGTGGCTTCAGGCAGAATAACCTAAACTAATCTTTATATTGGATTGTACTGACATGTGCCATATATCCACAGCAATACTTCTCCTATCTATCATTGATGTCGGAAACAGAACACATGGCCAAAGCGTGGCTTCTGGCAGAATAACTTTAACTAATATTATTTTAGAATGTACTGACATGTGCCATATATCCACAGCAATACTTCTCCTATCTATCATTGATGTCGGAAACAGAACACATGGCCAAAGCGTGGCTTCAGGCAGAATAACCTTAACTAATCTTTATGTTGGATTGTACTGACATGTGCCATATATCCACAGCAATACCTCTCCTATCTATCATTGATGTCGGAGACAGAACACATGGCAAAAGCGTGGCTTCTGGCAGAATAACTTTAACTAATATTATTTTAGAATGTACTGACATGTGCCATATATCCACAGCAATACACCTCCTATCTATCATTGATGTCGGAGACAGAACACATGGCAAGATCGTGGCTTCTGGCAGGATAACCTAAACTAATATTTATGTTGGATTGTACTGACATGTGCCATATATCCACAGCAATACCTCTCCTATCTATCATTGATGTCGGAGACAGAACACATGGCAAAAGCGTGGCTTCAGGCAGAATAACCTAACCTAATATTTATGTTGGATTGTACTGACATGTGCCATATATCCACAGCAATACCTCTCCTATCTATCATTGATGTCGGAGACGGAACACATGGCAAAAGCGTGGCTTCAGGCAGAATAACCTAACCTAATATTTATGTTGGATTGTACTGACATGTGCCATATATCCACAGCAATACCTCTCCTATCTATCATTGATGTCGGAGACGGAACACATGGCAAAAGCGTGGCTTCAGGCAGAATAACCTAAACTAATATTTATGTTGGATTGTACTGACATGTGCCATATATCCACAGCAATACCTCTCCTACCTATCATTGATGTCGGAGACAGAACACATGGCAAAAGCGTGGCTTCAGGCAGAATGGGCATTCACCGCAACTCTCGCGCGTCGAGGCCGCAGCGCTGCCTTGCTCGCCCCAATAACTTTCTCGTACGTATCATGTAGATAGTATTTTTGATGTGTAACATCTTTCCTCTCGCTTTCGTGCAATTTGTGGGACGGAAGTGTGTAACAGGAAGTTTGGGAAGCGCGCGCTATTTGATTTGATTTTAGAACATAATGTTCAAATGGCTTATTCCTTTTGTAGTTGTTTTTTTTTTACTATTATAAGGTGAGGTTTCAAATGTTACACATCATACGCGACCACTGTAAGGCTTGTTTTTATATATAGCTAAGTAGGCAAATGATTCTACCCCACCTTATGTTAAGTGGTGATAAAGTCCAAACGCGAAGATAGCTGGTACAGCAGTTATAAACTGCCACACCAACCATCCTCACCTTGCCGGCCTGCAAAAATGCTTCTTCACGCCTCTCTTAAAGGACCCCAGATTGTAGAAAGGAGGGAACACTTGCGCGGGTAAAGAATTCCACTTACGAATAGTACGCAAAGTATATGGTAGGTAGATAACAAGAGTTTCCGCCGGCGACTTCGACATGATTCCACCCTTCTTTTCATACCCTTAAAGAATCATTTCTGGGATATAAACTATCCTATGTCCTTTCCCAGCACTCAAACAATCTCTACACCAAATTCCATTTCAGTGATTTAAATGTGAAGGAGTAACAGACAGCCATTTCAGTATGGTTTACTTTGGTTTCTTAGTACGATCAGCACTCTTAAAAAAATTAAGGGATACGTAAATAATAAAGCTATTGAAAATTCAAAAACGAAGACTACAGAGTGTTCGCAATGATACGAAATGGCCACAACAGGGATGATGACTAATTTTTTTTCTTCGTTTATCAGGTACATTATCAAAAAGTATTGGACACGTATTTTTTCCTTTTTCACATAATATAAACATTGCAGAGATATATTGATTTGAAAATTCGCATGACGTCACGTTTGAGTACACTTATAAGTGAAAATTCACTCAAAAGTGACGTCATGAGCCCCTACTCCCAAACTTTGATGCGCTATAACTTTGTCATTTTTTGGTTGACTGCCCAAAGAAAAAATACGTGTCCATTAGTTTTTGATCATCTAACTGACGGACTAAATAGAATTTCGTTTACTGTACCCCGTCATCACCCCTACTCATTGATGTTTTTCCTCATAGAGCAAAACATTGAGTTTCAAAAGTAGGCCTTCACTGCACCACATTCGTTTAAAATAACGTTTTAACAAATATTTTTCGGTTCCATCAGATTTTGGAACCTTAAACCTTAAAACTGCTGAGTAACTTTTACACAAATTTAAACTCTCTGAACATTGACGACCTCCGTGGCCGAGTGGTTTGTACGCCAGGTTTCATGGTGTCGCCGACTCGAGAGGTCCCGGGTTCGAATCCCGATGGGGGCAGATGTTTGTGTGATGAATACGTGCATTTGTACTCCAGTCATGGATGTGTATTATGTATATTTCTAACTTATATATGTACTGTATATGTATTCTTATCCGTTACCCTAGCATCCTATAACACAAGCCTTACAGTGCTTACTTTGGGGTTAGGCTAATTGGTGTGTGTTGGAAATATTTATTATTATTATTTATTGTTTCTTATATCTGTAATATTTATGTCAAGTAGTCCATTTTAAGATCGTCTTTGTTCTTTTAATGACGTCTGATTATGTTTCGTGTTCGCAGTGAGATAACGTGTAACCAAATCACAAGACTGTTGAAGGAGTTCAAGAACAAGTTCGATAATCTAGTCCAATTAGAGAAGTCTGTTCAGCAAACACCGAACAGGTATGTATTTTATATATTATTATTATTAATGTTAATCAAATAAAGAGGAGTTATTGTTTTTAAATTTACAGAAAGGAAATGCGTTTTGTCATGCGAAGTATAAAGTAAAGCGTGCAATAGGGATGATGACTTATTTCTTTTTCTTCGTTTATCAGGTAGATTATCAAAAAGGATTGGACACGTATTTTTTCTTTTACACATAATATAAACATTGCAGAGATATATTGATTTAAAAAGTCGCATGACGTCACGTTTGAGTACACTTTTAAGTGAAAATTCACTAAAAAGTGACGTCACGAGCCCCTACTCCCAAACTTTGACGCGCTATAATTTTGTCATTTTTTGGTTGACTGCCCAAAGAAAAAATACGTGTCCATTTTGATCATCTAACTTACGGACTAAATATAATTTCGTTTACTGTACCCCGTCATCACCCATATTGGACAGCGCATCCGCTCGGATAGCGGAGGGCGCGGGTTCGAGTTCCGTCTGTTTTTGGACCGCGTGAATTTTTAAAGTGATAACTTTTTAGGGGAGTGTAAACCGCTTCGTTACGCAACGCGTTACAACGCCAGTATATCTGGCTTCGTTTTCGGGGCACGCATACGGCAGCGGCAGGCAGACTCCTCCTCTATTCTCTCTCACTCTAACCCGGAGCGCCGTTTAGATTAGTTTAAGTTATCACTTTTGTCATGCGTTCCGAGACGCACAGGCTTTTTTCCTAGTATATTTTCTGTTAGTGGATGTTGAAAGGATAAAATTGCTATCGAGTTTATTACTTGTTCACATGAGTTAATGAGTGCATCTGTATTTATTTATTTATTTTGTTGGCATGCCATCTTTTTTACACCCAACATAATTAAAAAACATACGTTGTACATAAAGTTGTGTTAAAACAGTTACAGGCATACTCAACTCTTATTTCTGACAAAATTAGTGATAAAATCTAAACTAGGTATACAAACAAACATAAAACTAAATCATAATCAAGTTTTACAATCAATACTCGATAGCAAAGCCCTCCAAAATGCAATCAATGACGCAGCGAACAAATCAACGCCTACCAAGGACCCAGTACAGATTTTATTATCTTCTTATTATGTTTTTCTGATTGGTTTTATAAATTGTTAAATGAAATAATTTTTAGTTAGATGGTATGATGGTATATCAACGACCAGACATCAAGATGAAGTAAATAGGCGAATAAACATCACATGAAATAAGTTCTGGAGTAACAAAGAAATTCTGAAATCAAATTTTCCTGTAAAACGCAAGAAAAAGTGGGGTATTCATGTTTATGTACATGTCATAAAATCTGCAACAATTTTTCAGTTTCTGTATAAGTGAGTGCCTGTAGGTATTTTACAAGTTTTACCTTACACGACCACGAACCACTTCTATAGAAATCTAATTTTCTATTGAGTTTGTTGTAAAGAAAGGGTCCCAAGAAAGTTAAAATCTCTTAGAAAATGCCGTTTTGCTGACAACTGTGCCAGCTACAAAATAGCTACGGTGACGTTTACTGGTATCAGATGTAACTTTTGTCACTTTGTGCTGTCTTAGGACAATATGCAAGACGAACAGTTGACGGACCGTGAGAACGCCACTGAGTCTGTATAAATCTGTGGTGGGGTAGAGATATGGTTTAGAGTGAATGACTTTTATAAGACTCAATGCGTCCGCTCCAATTCTTTAAGACAGGTCTTAGCTGTACCACCCCAAACCTCAATCCCGTACGTTATCAATGATTGTGTTGCAGAAGCGGGCTATTCGATCAATTTATAATCTTAAAGTTAAGGACTCTTTAAGAAATAAGTTTAAAGAAATAGGTATAATGACGGTTGCATCACAATACATATATGAAAACTTAGTATATGTCAAAAAAAATATTAGTTTATTTACTAAAAATAGTGAAATACATACACTTAATACTAGAAGTAAAAATAAGTTAACTTTACCTGCTACTAGGCTCCACAAAATTAATAATTCGTTTAGAGGCCTCTGTGTTCGCTTTTACAATAAAGTCCCAAGCAATATTCAAGAGTTGAGCCTGACTAAATTTAAATCGACTATTAAAAAAACTCTTATTAAGAATGCTTATTATAAAGTGTCTGATTATATTACAGACAAAAATGCTTGGGTTTGAACTGTTCCAACCATTCCAACGGGTATTTCTATATGATTTATGAATCATGTGTTGATGATACTTCTATTGAAAAGCTGTATTTAAAGCTGATTACGTAAGGAAGAATATCAGTCTATTTAAGAAGATTTGAATGAAAAAACGGCGTGGTCATGATTTCTCCATTGTTTTTGCTTTGTAATTGTTTGCAGTGTCCTACAGATAAATGACTTTAAGTTTAAGTAAATATGTTGTTGTTGATATAGGTGGTTATGGGTAGTCATGCTCTCTTAAAAGTCTCTTCGGTGGTGTCGTGTGAGGCGGGTCGTTACGTTCCCTAAAATATGGTTGAGCGAAGCGATGGCTGGTTCATGCGTCATGCTCGTGAACGGGTGCTGCCAGCGGAGATGAGTCTGCCCTAACTACTTTGATATTTAAGATGTAAATGTTTAATTACACCTATTATAAAAAACTCTGTTTGTATTTATACAGTGTGACACAGCAATCAAAATGCAGGTGTACAATTAATGTATAATTTCACATTATGTAATGAAGGGTGACTTCATGAATCATCTCTGAAGTCATTTTTCAACCTGACGACTCTGTAAATGATAAAACAGGGAGAAAAAAACAGCCCTTGCTGAGTTTCTTGCCGGTTCTTCTCAGTACAAGGTCTCCCGCCGTAGATTTACGAACCGATGGCGTAGCTTCTAGACATTCATATGTGCTTGTAACAGCCTAAACTGAATAAATGATTTTGATTATTGATTATTGACACAGGGCATAATAAGCCATCTTAAGAGTATCGCTATCAGCAGCATGGCGTAATTTTTCAAAAACGAATATTAATTTACGGATTCTGCCACATAGAGACTGCACCTGAGAGTAGAAATTTAAATTTCTGTCGAAGAGTATGCCGAGATATTTAATACTTTCTGCTCTCTTCAAGACATGGTAGGAGCACTGAAAAGTGTTGGGACTATCGCAGCAATGAACTCTAATCTTATACATGTCTCCATGAGGTAGAGAAGAGTTTTTTATAGCAAATGTCATGTATTTAGTCTTATCACAATTCATTGTGAGTAAGTTTTGACGAAGCCAATCACAAACAATATTAAGACCCGCCTGGGACGGTGCAAAGACATCTCCCCAAGTATCGCCAGTAAAGAGAAGAGCCGTATCATCAGCAAAAGTGACTATCTTGCCCCTCGGAAGCCTTAGATTACATAAATCATTTATCAAAACGAGAAAGAGGGTCGGGCCGGCTATGCTCCCCTGTGGAACGCCGCAAGTGATGTTTAAATCGGAACTGATGATCTCATTCGACAATTTAATACATTGATATCGATCGTGTAAGTAGCTAGTGAACAAAGAGAGTTGTCTTCCTCGTATTCCAATGTTTTCAAGCTTTTTTAACAGCAGGGGTATGGAAACTGTGTCAAATGCTTTCCGCAAATCGAGAAAGACTACCAAGCTTTTTTTGCCCTGATCCAGGCTTTGCGTTATAAAGTTAGTAACTGCCAATAGCGCGTCTGATGTAGATTTTTTTGCACGAAATCCAAACTGTGAATCTGACAGTAAACTATCCTTTTTAAGATAGTTCATAAATTGCAGGTTCAGCATTTTCTCGAAAACTTTAGAGATCGAAGATAAAATCGATATGGGACGATAGTTATTGGGCTGACTACGATTACCACTCTTATAGATAAGTTGCACTACCGCCCGTTTTAAAACTCTCGGAAAAACACGGAGGTGGGGACCATGAGATTCCTTAGCACGGGCTTTGCCTGTTCGGACTCTCGTCTCGCACAATTTTTATAGCCTTAAGTCTGTAGTTTTGTTTAGTTTTGGGAGAAACTAAAATTACTTGTTAAAATTATATCAATTTGCGTACCAAACACAGTAACGTGCAAAAAATTTTAACACAAGGAATAGAAATAAGCTTGCATTGCCACCCTACAGGTTACAGAAGGTTTACCGATCTTTTATGGATCAAGGTATACATTTTTATAATAAAATTCCTGATGCCATTCTTGAGTTACCCATAAATGAGTTAAAATGTCACATTAAAAATTGTTTACTTAAGAAAGGCTATTATATTATTAAAGAATACTTGAATGACAAAACTGCATGGCTGTAACTGCAAATTTGTTTTGTATTTGTTTACAGTGTCGTACAGAAAAATAACCTTAATTCTAAGTAACTATTTTAGTTTTGTTTGAGTGGTTATGGGTAGTCATGCTTTCTTAAAAATCTCTTCGGCGGTGTCGTGTGAGGCGGGTCGTTGCGTTCCCTACAATATGGTTGAGCGAAACGATGGCTGGTTCATGCGTCATGCTCGTGAACGGGTGCTGCCAGCGTAGATGAGTCTGCTCTTGCTACATTGGGTACTATTAATAGTTTTATTTAACTTTAATGGTACATTTGTTTTTATGCCTAAACAGTAGGACACGGCATTCCTAATTTTTTTATTAATCTGTTTTTTATATTTTTTATTTTATAGTCATAATTGTTTTATCATTTACATTTGTAATGGAAAGTGACTCCATGAGTTATCTTATATTGAAGTCATTTTCAAATTGACGACTCCGTATATAATACAGGGAGAAAAAAACAGCCCTTGCTGAGTTTCTTGCCGGTTCTTCTCAGTACAAGGTCTCCCGCCGTAGATCTGCGAACCGATGGCGTAGCTTATCGACATTCACAAGTGCTTGTAACAGCCTAGACTGAATAAACGATATTGATTTCTTTTTATTTTTTTTTACTATTATTATTAAAGTTGGTTGTGGTCGTTCAGGTACAGCGCGTATGTGATGTGTCGCGCTGTGCAGGAGGTTTACGCGCGTTGGCGCGAACCGCTGCTACAGGCGTGCGCGTGGGCGCGCGCGCTATGTGGGCGACTGGCGCGTGCGCATCCACCCGCCTTCCACGCGCAACGCGCCGCCATACTGGTACGAATCTAACTAGTGTTGAGTAGGACTTACAAGAGGCGGTACATTTTTTTTTTTTTTTATTTATTTTTTTTTTTTTCGACACTCACACCAATTAGCCTAGCCCCAAAGTAAGCACTGTAAGGCTTGTGTTATGGGATGCAAGGGTAACGGATAGAATACATATACTGTACATATATAAGTATATTTATATAAATACATATTAAACATCCATGACTGGAGTACAAATGCTCGTATTCATCACACAAACATTTGCCCCCACCGGGATTCGAACCCGGGACCTCTCGAGTCGGCGACAGCCATGAAACCCGGCGTACAAACCACTCGGCCACGGAGGTCGTCCCGGACATGACGCCAAATTGTAAAAGCGGCTCAAAATTTTAAAATGTACTACTTCACATTAAATGTCGCGGTAGTCGCGTCTCGTTACTCACTCACTCTTCGTAAGTCTGAGAGAGAGCGAGGCATGACATTTCATTTAAGTCCTCTACGCACTATCCATCTGTATCTCTATCTGTTTTACGTGTATAGCGCTGTCCTGCATGCTGGATCCAGTAAGATTGATAGTGCGTAGAGGAGGTGCTACTCGTGCACACAAACGTAATGTCGAGCTTCTGTACGCCTCAATGTCATATTTGTACTCGTCACTTCAAATGTATTGCCGAGCTTCAGTACGCCTCTCCTCATTTGAAGTGGGACATTGTACTGGTTCAGTACAAAAAAGAGGCTACTCTTACAAACTCTTTTTCAAGTCGTGTCCTACCCAACACTAAATCTAACATTAGGCGGTGCCTAAAGCCAGATTTACATTGATACAGTAGCTGGCGTCAATTTTAGACACCTAAACTAGCTAACGGTGCCAGTAACTGGACTGGATTGTGTTGTTGGTCTGGATTGGATGTAGATAGAAAGCCTCTCTTGAGTTTGTTTCGCCGGTTCTTCTCAGAAAGGTCTCCCAATTTTGGAACCGGTGATAGTTTACGGTAGTTAGGGTCAAATAAATAAACTCAAAATTACAAAAAAGAATTTTAAATAAAATACTTTATTAAGTAAATTAAATAATAAATTCATACATAGACAATAAAACGTTAAAAATTGAACAATGAAATAACCGAACGCTCAATAAGTCTTTCGAAGGTAGCTCGACAAATTAAATAAAAGTTTGATTCTGACGTCGTAGCCTGTAAAAGCTACGAAACGTCAATAAATAAATAAAGTTTCGTGCATTAACCCGTGAAAATTAGTTTTATTTAAAGAGTTATGTGCGTGAAAACCTAACAATCAAATATGGATTGTATCATTTACATTTTGGCTAGCAGTTGCATTTGAGGTTTAGTGGTGACTTTGGGAAAAAATGAACACTGATTTTACTTTCGCTTTCATTTCTTCAATAGTTAACCTTTCCATATTCATTGAAGAGTAAATATTTTGCAGGGCGGTTATTCACATCTATTTATTTCTATAATTTTGCGAACGAATGTCCCGTAAACACTCCTCATTTCTATATAAATGTATAAATGGTAATGTGTCATCATCACCCCACTTTCGAGACATTTTCGTGTCGAAAGTTTCAACAAATCAATAACACGTGGTGACATTAAGCGGTGGCGCCAGCGACTGCCGTGAACGTCTTTAAAAAGATCCAGTGACGCTGGCAAGGGGCGCGGGGGATGCGGGGTGTGGGCACTGGCATGAAAAGTAGGCCTTCGTTCTTCTCCATGCCAGCGCTGGCACCAACGCGGGACTGGCGCAAAAAAATGTTTACGTGGATCCAGTGCTGGCATGCCAGCGGGACTGGCGCCAGCTACTGTATCAATGTAAATCAGCCTTAAGGCATAGAGGAATGGAGCAACGCGCTCATAACCCATATATGTATGTACAGAGCATCCCACAGCATTGCCATAAATATTGCAGCTAGAATTTAATTAACTGGAAAAAACTTAATTTTTATTTTTCATAATAAGTGAAACTACATACTTTAAAAGATTTTTTTAAATAGCCTGACACAACCAGGAATCAAACTCGTGAAAATGAAAAAAAACACATGACGCATTTTATGATAAACGTTAATAAGGTTAATCATAAAGGTTACTTTTACCTAAATAACAAGGTGTTTGAATGACAGAAAGACCATGAAATTAAACTAACAACTAACATAATCATTACAAAATATTAAACTACTTGACCGTCACTGAAAGCTTTATATTGAGATAGCACTTCCGTTTCCCGTCGAATTACCATCAGTTTCCGTACTTTTATTCACCTTATATCCGGTCCAGTGGCGACACCTGGCAGAAGCGCGGCCATTTTTGTTTTCCTAAGTTTTGACAGCGCCATATTAACTCATTGGCGTCCTGACTCCCGTCGAAGCAACACGCGCTCAATCTGAGCGATCGTTGTGAGATTTTAAAGGTTTTATTATTATTAAGTGATAAAACTGTAAGTAAAACTATTTTATTTAACGGTTTTTGCCGTTCGTGTTATTCCAAATAGGTACTTTACGTATTAAAAGTGAAGGAACCGTAAGTAAAATTATTATTCTTTTTGATAGTTTTTGCAGCCCTTGTGATAAGGGATATTTCAAACAAATATGTTAAATTGTGCAACACCTTTGTTTTAAAATTAATAATAAGCCGTGAGTAAAACTGGACGGTGTTTCAAGGTGCGTTTGTGTTTAAAAAAATTAAAGTACCTACATAAGTATTTTGCAATGCTTTACGACCGTCTTGGTCGTTTGTAATTAAAACTATTTTAAGAGTGTTTTCTCTTGGTACTCAATTAATGTTTCCGTATAAGTAAGTGTAAAAGTAAATTAGTAAATGTATTACAAAATACTTAATTAAATTATTTTACAGTTTAGAGTGAAGGACATCGGTCAATATTGACATTTCAGCCGCCGACTGACTAGCATTAATGGCAAAAGCAGCAATATGTGTGGATCTAGTCATAATTGTTCTTCGAGCAGCTGCAGTAATAATTGGTTGAATTTGTCGTCTTCTGGTATAACGAAAGCGGCATCGCTGCCTTAAGAAAAGTAGCCCTTTTATTAAAAGATTGTTCGAGGGGTAAGTGAACTATGTACAATCTTAATAAGGTATTTGTAATGTCGATGTGCCGTTTTCTGAACATGGCCAGCTATCAATATCAAAAGGCTTATGAATAAAAAAGTTCTAACATTTTACTGACCAATACACGTTATAAATATACTCATGTGAGTCGTGTGACTAAACTAGGATAAAGGAAGGCTCTGTTCGAAAGACATTCAACGTTTATTTTAAATGATATGCTGATGTAAATTGAAAATTATAATCATAGTCCAGGCTTTATCAACCTGGAAACAAACAATGAGGTAAAGAAGTATGATGATAATTTATGATATATCACGTTCCTGACAATAATTTTATTTCAGCAAACGCATATTTTAAAATAAAAATTAATCATTGCGGGAAGGCACCTGCTCAGTTAATTTTATTAACGAAAGTGATAAGATAACAGAATCGTTTCTGAGGTATTTTACAGCTAGTGAGGGCACAAAGCTAAAAAGAAAAAACTAAAGCACTGCTTAAGAAGTTAGTGATCTCTGTGATGAAGCACCACCATCCAATCACCACATAATGATTCAGAGCTTTTGAGGTTGTTTTTCTCGTATAAAGTTATACTTATAATTATATTTTGTCATGGATTTAAGTGATTGACATTTCATCAACCTAATGAGCAACTCACGCAGAGGTAAGTGATAGCTTAGCTCATAATAAGCTTCATCTCATGAAGCCCAAGTCATGTCAGGACATGCCCTCCCATGGCGTACCTACACATATGAGTACCGGTGGCAAATCACCCTCGCGGGGTGCATATTATATATAATTTGTTTCCACTACGTGAAATCTTATGAAATGCCTCTAATGCCTTGCCTACATATACGAGTACCGGTAACAAATCACCCTCGCGGGGTGCATATTATATACAATTTGTTTCCACTAGGTGGAACCTTATGAAATGACTCTAATGCGTTGCCTACATATACGAGTACCGGTAGCAAACCACCCTCGCGGTGTACATATTACCAAAACTCTAATGACCGCCCCTCGCGGGGGTATATTATGTATAATTTGCTTCCACCGCATGGAACTCTTTATGAATAAGGACATGCTTTCCATGGCTGGCCTACACATACAAGTATCGGTAACAAATCGTTGATGGAAGAATATCCTCATCAATCTTATAATCGCCCTTGTGGGGTCATATCACACATAATATATTATTTCCATTGCGTGGAGCTCAATATATATTCTCCTTAGGACATGTTCGCTTATGGAGTTCGTACTATTATGTAAGCACCGGTAACATACGACACTCGAGTGGAGCAAATTATGCATAATTTAACATATTGTCTATTCGTTATTCATAATTTATTTTTGTGACCATGGGGTCTGTAAAAGTGCAAACAATTCGAAACATTAAAAATAAGTAATTTGAAAATATAATAAATGTCGCTTGACATAATTCATTACTTCCATCGTGTGGAAATCTATACATCAACGCAACGCAACATAGCCGCTCACGGCTTGCGTACACACATAAGTATCGGTTATAAACTACCCTCTTAATAGACTAGAAAGATCAAAGATCGAATGTTGATGTACCCCGTTGTGAAGTGCAATGTACACTGGTTTTTAAGGTGTGGCATACTCCGAGGTCCGGTGGGGCAAATCATTGTATGATAAAAACGAGCATCGGTGCCCAAGTCTTGGTTGTTAACACATATTTATTCAAAATCATACTAATCTATGCATCATCATTATGCATTTCTATGCGTTAGCCCATAACACAAGCCTTTCAATGCCTATTAAGAGGCTAGGCTAATTGGTCTGAAGTGTAGACTCGATCACTACGGTTGTTTTACCGTAATATAGTTATCAAGGACGTGCTGTAATAATTTCAAAAGGAAAAGGAATGTCGAAACAATTAATGTTTGAAATATAGTGCAGGAGAATTGGTAAATTGGGAGCACCACAAATAATTCTTAAATAAATTTGGTGGTATAGCATGCCATTCAAAAGCTTGTTTATCTAAATCCAATATATATCAAACTCCAATCTCAAGTGCAGTACACTATAAAAATGTAAAGAATTCTAAGTTTTCTGCAATTTAAGGACTACCTGCCAGATAGATAGATGATAACATATTTTCCCTTGAAAATAACAAAAGCAAACCAAATGCAAAAGCAAACATGCATTATTGGAAATGTCGTGTATGAGGTGTCTGAGATGGTCAACATGATCATTTTGATATATAAGTGGTGCTATGTACTGAAGAAAGATTGCACGATCTACCAAATTCTTGAAAGGTTTTTGAAGATCATTGTATGCAATTATCCACTTTATGTTATTTTTAGTAAAAAATACTGAAAACTGTTCTTAATATTAAACTTACGCTTTCTAACCTTGCCACGACTGTCTGGAATAAATATACTTTAAATCCTACGCATATTACATGCACACCTCAAGTAAGCTGTGTACACCTTATAACTTAATCTTTATTAAGTATTAACTAATACATATAAATGACCTTGATCTAAGAAATGAAAAAAAATTATAATCAATTATAGATTCCAGGATGGCAAATGAAATTCATAAAATCTGGTCTAAACTTCGTAATAGCATAATTTATCACGGCAACCCTGCAACAATATAAAAACTATACCTGTGAATTTCGTTGTAAAAGAGTAAACTTCAGAAGTTGATCGGTTTCAACATTTTTGTCATTGTGTGGGGTTGTATCAACCACTCCCTACTTCTAACAATAATTATGTATTCACTGCAATCGACCTTGCAATCACTTCCCGCCAATCTAATATGAAAGCTTGGGAAGTATAATTAAAGAACACGGCTCTACCACTTCACTTCAATCTCCACTCCAATCATATAGATATGCTAGCACTACGCTTTTCATCATATTCTATAAAGAGCGACAGCTCTGTCTGTCTGTATCAGATGGCTCGAAAACGCTGGCTAGCGTGGTTGCATTGGTCTAGGAACAAGAATGTTTATCGGAATAATCCCGCAGGTTGTGGACTCGGATCTGAGCTAACACGATTTTTGAGACTTATTTTTAACACGTGACTTATCTCAAAATAAGTACTATTATTTTAAATAAGTCGGTAGTTTTTACATGATATACCAATGGATGATAAGTCTAATTACCTAAGCTCATCTGTCTTGGCAAACACATATATTGAAGTCGATTGTTTTTAAAGAATCGGTCCGTAACCCACTATTCTGGAGAATCTATAAGTTAACTTATTTCCTTTTCTTCAATAATGTACTCGTTACATCATAATGATCTGTTTCAAATACCTCGTCATACTAGTTGTTGTTCTGAACATCATACAGTAATTATGCTGCGTATTATTTGGTTCAGCATGTGGTACACATGACTTGTTTCTACTTCAAATTAACCCGAATCATTGTCTTGGTACCGACGAAGATTAGTTTTAGCCTTGTTTTGGTTCAAAACAGTTGAAAGTAGTTGGAGACAATCCGATTGGTGACATGTACCGAATACTGGTAATCGTAAATGGGACCCTGATTTTTGGTACTTAAGAAAAAAGTACAGTCTTGCAAAATGTAAGACTCGGTATCGAACAACTTTACTTCTTTTTCTCGCATTCCTACGCCTTTTTGTGATAAACAAAGATACAAATGAATGCTACACAAGGTAGCGTCCGGTCATTAAGAAAGCAAATATATATATATAATTAAGTAAGCAAGTTTATGTAAAGGAATATAGCAATCAGCTAATACATATGTTAAAGCAGCTTCGTGAGCGTGAAGAAATTAAAGGCGGGATTCAAATAATGTTATTTGATCCATTTTTAAGCTTTTTCTTTTCTATAAACAGTTTCATATAATCTGATAAATGTTAATATTTAAATATATCATAAATTGTCACATTGGCGTATATATCTATGTACGTGGCGATCACCAGGCGATAACAAACAGGTCTCAATATAAAGCTTTCAGTGACGGTCAAGTAGTTTAATAGCAGCATTTTACCTGAAATAAAATGCATATTAAAATACTTACCTCACTGAAAGCTTTCACTTTAAATTCTGCCTGGTGAAATAATTGAGCCAATGAGTTAATATGGCGCTGTCAAAACTTAGGAAAACAAAAATGGCCGCGCTTCTGCCAGGTGTCGCCACTGGACCGGATATAAGGTGAATAAAAGTACGGAAACTGATGGTAATTCGACGGGAAACGGAAGTGCTATCTCAATATAAAGCTTTCAGTGAGGTAAGTATTTTAATATGCATTTTATTTCAGGTAAAATGCTGCTATTAACTAACTTAATAGTATAAGATTTCCTTTTTATAAGTAAGTGAAAAATTAATGATAAATCTGTACATACACCCCGTATTTGTTGTGGGTTGTGCATCTTGTCTTGTGAAACCATAATGGTAAAAATGGTATATTTGGGAAAAATACTAAAAATAAACTATTTGCTAATTGACAATGGTATGAGTACGCGCGTTATGGTAGCTTGTTGATTGCGAACTAACTTATAAAATAATTTTGTGCAATAATGTAAAATGAGGTCAAGTTATTAAATGTGCTGATGCGGGAAAAATGCATTGTACGAAGCTAGCTCGTACACATTGTGTGTATTATTTGATAAATAACTTCATGACGGTATTGTGCCTCAGATGTGGAAAACGGCATTTATTACACCTGTCTAAAAAATAGGTAACAAAAAAGCGTTTAACTTGACTTTGTAGCCGAAGAGAGCTAAGTTATAACGTTACAAAGGTTTTAAATACTACTTCCTTCCACAGGACAAACTCATGTCTATGAGAGAGTTCACTTTGAAACACACAGAAATAGTTCTGGAGAGGACGAGGATACCAGACGAAGAGCTGGATCTTACAGAAGGACTAGTCACAAGGGTCAGGGAGCTGTTGCTGCAGATGTTCAAACTAGGGTTCGAGGTAAGTCTTTTTGATCAACGAATCTCAGTCTATACTGAACTTCAGCGAAATAAACATAGAATTCTTGCGACTTTCCATTACAAAATTATAGTATGTTTGAATATAAATTTAATATAACATGAAAAATCACTACCTGCCTTCGCATACCTTTATTAATTAAAAATAACTTAAAGAAATTTAAAAAAGAGACCTTACCGAATTATTCACTATTTTGTCCCGATGAAGATTGTATTATATTGTATGTAACGGCTGACGTAAATTGGAAATATTGATAAATCACTTCGGCCTCAATAGTTTTCAGTATTTAAATTTGTAGGTGTATGTAAATATGTATCATAATTATTGTTAACACAACCACATTTTTGTTAGAGATTGTTTGTTTATTGTGTAGTTTCCAATCTTACTCACTACGCACGAGACACGCTTATATTGCAGCTGTTATTTAATAATCTTAATTCTCAAAAGCAATATATAACTTGAAAAGTCATGTTCCACACCAGCACAACAAGTCGATATTTCATTTAAAGTTCTGACAAGCCTCGTTGCATCTTATCACTTACTTACAGCACTTTATATCACAAGATAGTCATGCTGTCACATAATTATTCAAAAATGTAAATGTCCAAGCATAGTTCGTTTGAAATTGCACCCTATTCCCCACAAATAAGAGCGCACATATCCGCAGCTACACAAAGAGTTATACAAGTTGGTTCAATCGCCGAAACCAGAGGCACGTTTGAGACGAGAGAGACCAGCTTCACTTCAACCGTTACGACCCCGACAGTCCGTACAACCCAGGCGACGGAGGCCGGAAACCATGATCATCAATCAGAATATCAACTCTATGGTATAAGGAATACGGTCGAAGTTTGGTTGGAGGATGTTTCGCTTTGTGTTCTGTGTTGTGATAGTGTTTAATTTGTTTTTGGACGAGATATTTAGCTTTTTGTTGGATGTCCAGTGGAAAAGAAAACTCGGTTCCAATTATGAGGTGGCTTTTTTTTAATTATAACGAAATAGTTCAAGTGCAAATCCTGTACTATCGTAGAAAACATGTTTTCAAGCTTGGAATACATTTTTTTTTAAATTATTAGAGTTACCATATTCGTATTCCCAGTAGGTTTGACAAATTGGAGATATTCCAGTCGGGCGGAAGTATTAAATAAAATATTCGTTGGACTATTTAAGGATACTATCATATTTTGTTTCTTATATATGCATAAATATGCAGCATTTATTATTCACTGATTTAATTCCAGTTGTAACAAAATATCATATTCAAAACATATAATTAGAGGGGAACGTTGAGTCTGTCTTTCACATGTGTCCTTTTAGTATGTTTGACTAATAAACGATGTTTTGTTTGTAACAAATAACAATCGATTGTGTTATGCCGGAACTTTACATAACATGATGTGTAAACATGACATCAGTCTGTCCTTTTCATTCCCTGTACAGTATAATAAGGACAGGCTGATGTCAAGTTGCCAAATAGCAAACACGAATAGTCAAGCGAAGTGCCGGCAATAAATAAATAAAATAAATATTTCCAACACTCACACCAATTAGCCTAGTCCCAAAGTAAGCACTATAAGGCTTGTGTTATGGGATACTAGGGTAACGGATAGAATACGTATACTGTACATATATAAGTATATTTTTTGTATAGATATACATATTAAACATCCATGACTGGAGTACAAATGCTCGTATTCGTCACACAAACATCTGCCCCCACCGGGATTTGAACCCGGGACCTCTCGAGTGGGCGACACCATGAAACCCGGCGTACAAAACACTCGACCACGGAGGTCGTCAATAAGATGTGTGATTGGTTTTTGGTATTTGCAAAACAATGTAGTGATTGCAATTTATGATAAGGGTAAAAGGCTTAGATTAAAACAAAAAGGGAAGATACGGCACTCGCGGCTCAAAAGTGTACCGCTTAAATTGTGGTGCATGACCACAATTCGCTTTAGTCACAATTGGACATTCAAACACGCTGCATGTGCACTCAATATAATAACATTCCGTATATTCTGTGTTATAAAGATAAAACAATGCCTTCGATGCTTTTTTATAAAGAACACAAATTCAAGATTCACACACAAGTTCAAGATCAAATAACAAATTCCAAGTCAACCTTTTTCATTAGTAAAGTTATAAAAAAAAACAATAATTACGGTTTGTCATTTATTGTTATTAATTCATTCCCCATTAATTGTTATCAAGAAAAGGACAACAATACAGCCGGCTCAGCTTGTAAAGCGAAAAAGAAAAAGCAGTCGGTTGCCAAGCGACGCAGACTCGACGTTTCGCTCGCGCTGCGTTGAAGCATACAGTTCTGTCTCGCTCGCTCGATTGAATGTTTATTTACCGAAGCGTGCGTGTGTGACAGTCGCTTATGTAGTTGAGTCCGATCATATTTTATTTGATGCTAGTATGAGCGTGACTTATCTTTCCTTTTGGTTTTCATCATCATCAGCCTATTAATGTCCCCACTGCTGGGGCATAGGCCTTCCCTATGGATGGAATAGGGAGTTTGGGCCATGACCCACCACGCAGGCCAAGTGCGGATTGGTGGGTGCTAACAACTGCAGATGCAGCCGGGACCAATGGCTTAACGTGCCTTCCGAAGCACGGAGGAGCTCAAGATAGTAAGTAAATTTTTGGTCACCCATCCAATGACCGACCACTGCGAAAGTTGCTTAACTTCAACGATCGCAGCCGAACGCGCTAACCACTTGCGCCATCGAGCTTTTTATTTTAATCTAAGGTTTAAAAAAAAATTGCAAGTGTTGTGATGTGAGTGTCGTGAGGTGATTTAAACAAAATAAGTGAAGACAGGGAGATTTGTTTCTGTTAGTAACTATTTTATTTTTTGTCATGTGCTTGTCGTTCTTTTCCTGCTTTAATTTACTAATGATAACTGGAGTGTCTTTGTGAATGTACGTTTCTGATGCTTACATACAATTATAGCACTAATGCACATGCTTTTAAAATTTAATTTTCGTATAAGTATGTATTTTTATGTGTTTTGCGTATTTGCATTATAACGATTTTTTTGGATTTTATTCGACTGCTCAAAAAAAAGTAATGTTTCATTAAAATCCTGAGCATAATTTCAGTATAAACTATTCTTCTCGCATTAAAAAAGATTATGAACTTCCATCTTACCTTTAACCTGTTAAACATAGGTTAGCAAACATTGTGTTTTGAATCGTCTTTTTTCTATGAATTATTTCATAATATAATGTTTTATTATCACGTAATCAAATTATACTTTATTTCTACGAATCTCAAAATCAGGATCTGGAGGCCTAATCTATTTCAACGAAAAACGAAATTTCGCACGTTCCTTATTCTGTTTCTATTTCATTTCGAAAATTCGTTCGTCCGAAAATAGTTTGACATTTAAATTCTCCAAGCCTACTCCAATTCACAAAACTTTTGAACTAAAAGTTGAATTTGATAGATAATTGTTCGAAATTTTAACCACAAATTGACGAAATGAAAAGTGCTACCTTTTCATTTTCGTTTAGGGATTTTTGTTTGAATTAAACCTAAAATAACTACTACAGTTTATTTTATTTTAAGGCTGCTTAGCGTGAGGAACATTTTTTAGTATGAAAAATTTACAAATAAATCAAATATTTGTTTATTATTGTATTGCCAATATTTCAAAGTGTTACACGACAAATTTAGGTTGACATACATTCGATTGCATCAACTCTACAAATTAGTCGGCTAACACTGTCAAAAGATGTTGTTTTAATGTAATCAAAAATTTTTCTCCTTTAGTAATATTGTTTTGAAGTAAAAAACGTTACCTAAAAAGTGTAGACAAAAAGAACTCACATACGTAACTCATTCCATTCGTTCAAGATAAGTGTCTGTGATTCCGAACTTTATGTGCATGTTCGAATATGAAATAGAGTAGTCACTGACGAAATTTCGTTTAAAATTCGTTCGTTGCCGAAATTTCGATTCCGAGAAAGAGAGTAGAGCTCCTGAGTGTGTACTACATACATATGTATATGTTTATTATATAAAAACTTTATCAAAACCTTTTTGCGACCGATATAACCTACGAAGAATATAAAACTATATTACATTATTTGTGTTTTAATTTTTGTCGATAAATATTTGGTTTGATTAATGGATCTTGAGAAAATTTGGAACTGGATTTTGAACCTTATCCCCAGATACACAAGGAGCTGCAACGCGCGGTGAACGAAGTGCCGGGCCGCATGACGATGCCGCGTCGATCGCTCGCGAACTCCCCGCCTAAAATAACGTTGCGAGCAAAGTTCTCCAGATCTGAGAGCATTGGGGAAGACGCGGTGTTTGATGACAAGATGTTTGACAACTACGCAGAGAACCACGTAAGATGTTTTTAGAAATTGCTTCCTAAAATAACAATCTAGCGAAGTTCTCCAGGTGTCAGAACATCAGAGAAGATGCTGTGTTCAATGACAAGATGTTTGACAACTATGCAGAGAACCACGTAAGACTCTTATAGAAATTGCTTCCTAAAATAGCAATCGAGCGAAGTTCCCCAGGTGTCAGAGCATCGGAGACGACGCAGTGTTCGATGATAAGATGTTTGACAACTCTGCAGAGAACCACGTAAGATTCTTTTAGAAATTGCTTCCTGAAATAACAATCGAGCGAAGTTCTCCAGGTCTCTGAGCATCGGAGAAGACGCAGTGTTCAATGACAAGATGTTTGACAACAACGCAGAGAACCACGTAAGATTCTTTTAGAAATTGCTTCCTAAAATAACAATCGAGCGAAGTTCTCCAGGTCTCAGAGCATCGGAGAAGACACTGTTCGATGCCAAGATGTTTTACAACTCTGCAGAGAACCACGTAAGACTCGTATATATTTTTCTTCCAACTCTCCGCTTATAATAGCCCTTAGAAAGAAGTTCTCCAGGTCTCGGAGCATCGGAGAGGACACTGTTCGATGCCAAGATGTTTTACAACTCTGCAGAGAACCACGTAAGACTCGTATAGGTTTTGCTTCCGACTCCCCGCCAACAATAGCCCTTAGGAAGAAGTTCTCCAGGTCTCAGATCATCGGAGAAGACACTGTTCGAAGACAAGATGTTTAACAACTACGCGGGGAATCACGTAAGACTCGTATAGATTTTTCTTTCAACTTTCCGCCTGCAATAGCCCTTAGAACGAATTTCTCCAGGTCTCAGAGCATCGGAGAAGATGCAGTGTTCGCTGATAGAATGTTTGATAACTAAGCAGAGATCCACGTAAGCGTGGTAGAGAAATTGCTTTTTGTTTCATTAAGTTCTTGGTCGTTAACAAGAGAGTATTTCTGATGATCCTGTAGGAAGGCCAAAGGGAAAGATCTTCCTCCGAGCTGGGTGGTGGTAGCTCGGGGGCCGCGGCCCGACTGATATTGGTCGGGCATCGTATATATGAAGAGTTAGCCTCCGAATTTCATTTGCGCGATGTAGACTTCCATACTATTAAGATCGCAGTGCAGGTAACCATCTCTTGAGGATGGTGAGTAATGATTTCCTCCATCCGTTGTATATATGTGGGGCATATAGATGTCTGCCGCCACAATCCTAATAGATCTTGAAGAGTTTTTTTGCATTATTTCTCACGCTTCGAATAGAGTTTTTCTATAAATTATTTGTGTTTTTAACTCGAAAGATTTCTTTTATTGTTTTTACCGTACCAGAATTTCTCAGCTGGACTCTTCCAATATTTAACATCAGGGTGGCGATATTGCTAATTTAAAGTAAGAATCGTGTATCAGTGGTGTTTCAGTAGTTTAGATTTTTGACACAGTGTTGTTAAAACACAAAAGTAATAAATATGTTGGTTTACTCATTCGTAATCTGCAGAGTCATTTGTTAAACCCCAGCAACCTCATAGGATTACATAGCTGCCATCATAAATAACAACTTTATATGAGTTTTAAAATAACTCAATAGGTACATTTAAAACAAATACTTTTTAGGTTTTTAATATACTTTAATGTTTTTATGCGTCTATGTTTTCCGCCTTTTCTTTAAAATTTGTAGATTCGACACCCAACTTGTATGGAGTGATTCGCTATGCCAAGTCGTATTATAATAGATATATCTGAAACAATAAGGTATTTGACAAGTTTTAGAAAACGATCTCACGTCATTTACTAATGTTTATGGAGTCCAAAAGTGGATATTCATCATTTTGTTACGTATTTCAGTAAACCAAAAACTAAATAAAAAAATACTATTTCAAAGTTGCCGCGAAAGCGTTTCTCTGGCCATTATATGCGTCTCACAGCTATATGACGTCACACGACTGTCATCAAAGCGTCAAACGATACAATGTTATGTCACTGACCGGAAGTTTACTAGCATGTGACGTCATTTAAGTTTTCGGCTAATCCCAGGCGTTTTTGGTCACGTGACCATAACACAAAATATCGTTTCTTTGTTCTCCCGAATTGTAAAATCGCTCCTAATATTCATATTAAATACAGATATCAACAATTACTACTATATTTTTGATACTGTCAAATAGCCTATTTTTTTTATTTGTAGCAGGAAACGTGTATAGAACGTTTGCTATCCGGCGAAGAAAATCAACAAGAGCAAGTCCAGCTCAGAGGCGGAAGCGTGAGCGATGCGAGCGCTCAGAGCGAAGAGCGGGAATGGGCGGCTAAAGTCGCACGCGCCGTCATAGAGTTTGCGCGCTGCTGGATGAGATTCGTAGTCGAGCGATGTGACCGGGGGAGGGGACTGCGGCCCAGGTATCTATTAATTATTATAAGTTACATTTTTATTTTTTAAGCATTTAACTGCTAGGTAGATTTTTAAATCTAAATAAAAGTTTACTAGGTAAAATTCCACGCGGACCAGGCAGCAGAAGGAACTCGAACCCTTTTTTTCCCCTTTTTTCTGGTAAACTTTTCTTTCGATTTAATTAAACATTTAGCTGTTAAATGCTTAAAAAATCTTGTAAAGGTATTCCTTTGACATTGTGGGTTATCTACAATGCAAAGAGATAGCGCTGCCTTGCAGCTTAAGAAACATGAATGGTTGAAAGCTGAATGGCTGAATATTTATAATTTCTATGAAAAAAGGCTCGAGAATTTTTGAAATTACAACCCTAAAAGTTATGAACATTCTTACCTTCTCTTATGTTGCCAATAGGCTAGTTGACTCATGTCGAATTGTATTAAATAAATGTTTATTTCTTAAAGGATTTGGTCTAAGGAACCTAAATATATCGATTTCACTTCATAAAAGCAGAAGATTGCTGTAGAAATTCAATTTAAAAAAATTATCTTTAGTCTATACTCTTTATAAACACTAAAAACGCTGTTCGCCACATCCGCCATGATTGTGACGTCTCTTTTAGTAAACAACTAAATGTCATTCATACATAACTTTAAAACTTGTTTTATTAAAACTGATAATAAATGAAGAGACTTAAAATATTATTCAATGAGTACTTACATCAAAGTGATCTTCGCAAAAATAAATTTTACTATGAGTCGATAAAGTTGCAGGATCACTTTTAGCAAGTTCTAACCAGGTATTGCGTAGGTTAATTTCTTTCGGCACTTTAATCCTCAACTTTCCTGGAGTCTTCAAGGATGTGTTTTTACATTCTCGTACAATACAATAATGATAATTACTATATTTTTCGTGGTATCTATTAGAAATCATGTTTTCTTTTTATTATAAACTCAGTTAAGTTATTTTCTACGTGCTTACGAGTTTTTGTTTACTACCGTCTACATAGATAATCTATAGACTAAAATGGCCGACAGCGTTTTTGTATGTCCATGAAAAGTCTATTTTAAAATTAAAGATTTGTAGTTTTCTAGGTCTCAAAAAAATACAATACATTTTTTTTGGTCTAATAGAACATTTATTAACCATTTAAAACCTTTTTCCAAAAAGGGTCAACTAGCCTATTATTTACACATCCATCAGTTTCGCATTTTATTAGAATCCTTCCTCCCATTTCTCTGATTAACACTTCACAAAAAGTATTTGAAGAGCATAAATAAATCCATATAATTCATTGTTAACGGTCTGACAGGAAGTCCGTAAAGTTTGATTTTGTTCATTTGCAAAAATTTAAGAATTAATTATCATACAGACTTGTCTCAAATCTGATCAGAAAATTAAATTCTATTATTTCAGGCCTTCAGTCATTGGTTATGAAAACAATAGGGCCAAGCATTTCATAGTTTTTTGTGTAGATTTATTGTTCATTTAAAACGGACCATTTTCCTTTTGGACCAGACATGAAGTCAACTTTTATATTTTTAAATATTTGATTATTTCATGAACGTTGTATGACAATAATAAACTAGTAATAATTAATAAACAAATATTTTAATGTTTCGGGCTAGTGCGAGGTAATTATAAGCCATGTCCTTTCTATACCTAACTTGACATTCCCGACATTTGAAGCTTATCGAGATTAATTGAACTTCTGACATTGGTTCGTGCTAAGTACAGTACAGGAGCTCGATGGCGCAAGTGGTTAGCGCGTTCGGCTGCGATCGTTGAAGTTAAGCAACTTTCGCAGTGGTCGGTCATTGGATGGGTGACCAAAAATTTACTATCTAGAGCTCCTCCGTGCTTCGGAAGGCACGTTAAGCCGTTGGTCCCGGCTGCATCTGCACTCGTTCTGCGTGGTGGGTCATGGCCCAATTTCCCTATTCCATCCACAGGGAAGGCCTGTGCCCCAGCAGTGGGGACATTGATAGGCTGATGATGAAGTACAGCCATCTCTTTTTAAGTATTATAGTATTTGGACTATTGTATTTCCAATAATGGAAATTAATATATTTGTGATATGACATTTTTGTTTCATTTCAGATGGGCTAGCCAAGGACTGGAATTTTTAATGCTTGCCTGCGATCCATGCAACACCAAACATCTCAGTGAAGAAGAGTTTGAGGTAAATGAATTTATGTTGAAATTGATTTTCAAATTGAAGTCAAAAAGCAATGTTTAAAAATGTTTTAAAAGTTACTTGAAAAATATACATGATTCCGTCTTACCAGTGTTTATAATAAGTTATTCACACCCAAAACTAAAGAATCAAAGTTTTTCACGTAAAAATTTACTACGACTTAATTCTCGATATTATGTATATTTATAAAAAGTTATTTATTCCTGTCTCTCCATGCATAGTATTCGGTTGGTTTTTCTCATTACGTAAATCGGCCAATAACTACAGTAAGTAAAATGAATTTAACACATTCAAATTTGTCTGACAGCTGTCTTAGAAATGTCAAACTAATTTAATGTTTAAATCTAAAGAAAAGTTTACTAGAAAAAAATCCACGCGGACCAGGCAGCGAACGGGACTCGAACCCGCACCCTTCGCAATCCGGGCGAATGCACTGACCATTATGTTACCACGGCCCTATTCGCCGCGTGGAAATTTTCCTAGCCTTAAGCTGCAAGGCAGCGCCATCTCTTCGCATTGTAGGTAACCCACAATGTCAAATGAATACTTTTTCAAGTATTAAACATTTGAAAGATGAATAGAGATAATTTCCATGCATCAACAGTTGTTCGGCAGTAAATTACGTTGTACGGATACGTACACCAATTAGCCTAGCTCCAAAGTAAACACTGTAGGCTTTTGTTTTCGGTTACTAGGGTAACGGATAGAAAACATACACTGATACATATATAAGTATATTTATATAGAAATTCATATTAAATCATCACACAAACATCTGCACTCATCGGGATTCGAACCCGGGACCTCTTGAGTAGGCGACACCTTGAAGCTACGTACAGACCACTCAGTCACGGAGGTCGTCATAATAATAATGGTTTATTTCTTCTTCTGACCATCTCATGCACAAAAAAATACAGACTTAATGAATCAATTAACGACTTAATGATGACCTCCGCGGCCGAGTGGTTTGTACGCCGGGTTTCATGGCTGTCGCCGACTCGAGAGGTCCCGGGTTCGAATCCCGGTGGGGGCAGATGTTTGTGTGATGAATACGAGCATTTGTACTCCAGTCATGGATGTTTAATATGTATGTTTATATAAATACTAGCTGACCCAGCGAACTTCGTACCGCCCTAAAAAATAGGGGTTGTCCAGCGGACAAGATTGTGAATCTAAACCATTCTCAGATCCCCTTAAACACACACAAAAAATTTCATCAAAATCGGTCCAGTCGTTTAAGAGAAGTTCAGCGACATACACACTCACAGAAGAATTATATATATAAAGATACTTACATATGTACAGTATATGTATTCTATCCGTTACCCTTTTTTTTTTGTGACGAGGGGAAATGCAGTTACGCACCATACCGTGACGCTGACTAGGCGCACGGCGTGTGTGGGACTCGCCGGCACGGGAAACAGTGCCGACCCTACTCAAGCAGGACCAGTGCGGAAGGCCACACTGATCCTACTCCACTAAAACCCCCCCCCTACCCTCCTACGCCCATATGGGGGCGTCTCAGGATCGACGCACCTTAGCGTGCGCCACTTCACTGGGACGCCCCCGGGATTCTATCCGTTACCCTAGTATCTCATAACACAAGCCTTGCAGTGCTTACTTTGGGGCTAGGCTAATTGGTGTGAGTGTTGGAAATATATATATATATTATAATATTAATGACAAGATTGTGGAGAGACTGGTGTCTGAACTAGGCCGCAGCCTGTATCTCAGAAGACAGTACTCTCCCATCTTTATAGTGGTACATAATAACAGAATTGCATGTTCTGAAAAAATAAATAATGGTGATTATTGTCGTACAGGAGCTGAAGGAGTTAATGGACGGATGCATCTCCCACGTGGTGGGGTCTCGGCCCCGCGCTGACGTCACGCTCGCGCCGCGGCCTCGCCACAGGCTACAGGTAATATTATACTCACATACGAGGCTGTCAGCGCAGAAGTGGCCTAACCCTCATATTCTGATTCATACAATACAATACAATACAATACAAAACACTTTATTGAACACCACAGAAAACATTACAATAAATACAGAGCCAGTTTTTACGGGTTAATGCACGAAACTTTATTTATTTATTGACGTTTCGTAGCCTTTACAGGCTTCGTCGTTTATTTAATTTGTCGAGCTACCTTCGAAAGACTTTTATTGAGCGTTTTTTGACCCGCCGTAAAAACTAGTTTTATTTAATGAGTGATGTGCGTGAAAACCTAAGAAACAAATAAATACAGAGCCATTTGAATAGTGTTACAATGGGCGGCCTTATCGCTAAAAGCGATCTCTTCCAGACAACCTTTGGATGGAGAGGATTAGAAGGAAGTGGTAGAGACGGCGGCGTAAATTTCAATGTAATTTATTAATATATACATATACATAAACAAACAAATACACATATTTTATATTCATAAATACATATATATATATATATATACATACAAATACATACATAAATCTAGTCCAGTCGGTAGAAATTACAAAAGAGATAATAAAACAAAAAAAAATCTTCATCTTATTTTTATTTATTTAAGATAACTAACAATTGTGCAATATTGTACGTAATGTAGTAACACTATTAAATATATTGATGTCACTACACAACCAACACCGTTATCCACTAAAAATATATCACAACACAGAGATTATATTTTTATAAATCATAATAAGTTTGCAATATCTATTCTACTTGCAAATCGATGGTATAATTAAAAAAAGTTACAAAACACATTTTTTAAAATCTTTGGTAAACAATCAGTAATGGCCTTTTTATATTGAATAAAAGACATTGTAAACAAGTCCAAATCAAAATCAGATAGGTTGTCATTAAGAAAGTTCAATATCTTCTACAATGAAACAAAAATGTGTTAAAATTTAATTCAAAATCGGCCTCTCTTGTTTCACCAGGCATCAATAGATGGCGTTGCAAACGCTCTTTTTGCATTGATTTTTTTCTCTCAACCTAAACTTCATAAGTGGCCTTAGCTGCTTAATCAGAATATGAATAATTGAGGATAAGGCCACTTTTGCGCTGACAGCCTCATATCATCATCATCATCATCAGCCTATTAATGTCCCCACTGCTGGGGCACTGCAGGAGTAGGGAGATTGGGCCATAACCCACCACGCGGGCCCAGCGCGGATTGGTGGGTGACGGTTGCAGATTCAGTCGGGACCAACGGCTTAACGTGCCTTCCGAAGCACGGAGGAAGTCGAGATAGAAGATTTTTGGTCAGCCATCCAATGACCGACCGCTGCGAAAGTTGCTTAACTTCAACGATCGCAGCCCAACGTGATCCGCCCGTGCCCTCGAGCTCCTCAAACTAACATATATTATGTTATAAACATTTTTACTTTTATGCCACAAAGTTTCATTGCAGAATGTCTATAACCTGAAAAATTACTAAGATCAGTATACCTAAATAGTAAAAAGTGTAATTGGTTACAAACCCTTATTTGCAGAACATCTATTGAGCAAAATGTCTGAAATACACAATGTACTCGTATATGAAGCAATACGTCTAAAAGCCTTTGTATATATAATAAAATTCCTGGTCCAATAAGAAGTAATGAGAATGTCCTCAGTTTCAAGCATATGTTAAAGAATTTCTTAGTTGATAAATGCTACTACACAATTAAGGAATTTTTATCTGACAAAGAAATTTAACAATGGCATTCTGGGTACCACTTGACATGAATAAAACGATTTGGAAATAAACTTAATTGACATTTATAATAATATTGATTTAAATTGTGACATCTAATGTTATCTATACTTATAATAAATCTAAAGAGATGTCAATTCTGTACATGAAATATATTTTTAAAATAACTATCAGGGGGTGATTAGTGATCGATACTGATGCCAAAAATGCAATCAGTAAATTTTTTGTCTGTCTGTCTGTCTGTCTGTGTGTTTGTTCCTTATAGAAACAAAAACTACTCGACGGATTTTAACGAAACTTGGTACAATTATTCTTCATACTCCTGGGCAGGTTATAGTATACTTTTCATCACGCTACAATCAGTAGGAGCAGAGTAGTGAAGGGAAATGTTGGGAAAACGGGAGAAGTTACTCCATTTTTTAAGCTTCCGTCGCGTGTGCAGCCTTAATGATTAAAGTTACATAGAAATCATGTACGACGGAAATATTCTACATAAAATTGTCTAAAAAATATCCCGCAACAGCATATGTCTATCTTTTATGGTTGACTCACAATAACACGTGTAACTCCCGATAGCTTAGCAGTTCGGAGCATTCTGATCATATTTGTTTACTCTTACGTTTATAATACTCGGTATAGAAACACCAAACTTATACATGAAATAAGCCATCGCGCCGTCGCACGTGAATACTGAATCATGCTATAAGGATTATTTTTGTGTAACGGTTGCCGCGCTCGACACGGGTCGCGGCAGCGGTAGGGTATCAAAGGTCCGAGAGCGAGCTGTCTAAATCTGTTTTCTGCGTCGCTCCCCCCCTGGGGGACGATCGCTTCCGATGAAGCCTTAGAGGCCTTCCCGGCCAGAGGCAGCCCCTACGGGTGTTTTTTAGTCAGTACGAGTCTGACATAACCTTGCAGCCGGCTGTAGGGTATCCATGAGGATTTCTCATCTGCTCCCCCGCCTGGGAGACCGAAACCGTGCTTATCAGCGCGACTTTTAGTCTTTAAATAGTTTATTTGAATTTCTTTTGTTGTTATTTTGTAAATCAGATATTAGTTGTTTTGGTAGTGTTTAAATATTCGTTCAAATTAAAAATTATTAAGCGTAGGTACTTTTATTAATTAAAGTAGTTATAAGTATTTATTTTTAAGTGAAGGAGGTATAGGTAGATAGTATTGCACAGGCGTTTCAGCTTTATTTTCATTTCTTTTTTGTTGTGAGTTGTATATATTTCTGGTTATAATTCTATAAGAATATTTTAGTTCAAATAGTCACTTAGATTTTATGTGTAAGGTAGCTAAAGTTAGGACCACGTATTAGTTGTTTTGGTAGTGTTTAAATATTCGTTCAAAGTGTAATTTAGTCATATAGGATGAATGTACGATGGCCCATCGAAAAGGAGTAGAAGCGGTAGACAGAACTTTAAGAGATATAAGACAAAATGATCGACCCATGGGCGGTATCACAGTTTTATTTTGTGGTGATTTCCGACAAACCTTAACGGTAATACCACGGGGAAAACGAGCTGCTGAGGTTAGGGCTTGCCTGAAAAGCTCTTATTTGTGGCGTGATATACAATCGGTGCATTTGACTATAAACATGCGAGTGAGAACTGTAGATAACCCGGATGATCGTGAATTTTCTGATATATTATTAAAGAAAATACCTTCACCAAAGAAACCTATCCACTGCTACACCAAGGAAAACTTATTCTGACGCCTGAGTTATGTTGTATAGTGCAATCCCAACAACATCTTACATCGTCAGTTTACGGTGACGTAACAAATATATTAAATAGGAACAATTCTTGGCTATGCGAAAGGTCCATTTTAACTCCTCGCAATGACCAGGCATCTGAGATTAATAATAAAATACTGTCGAATATCCAGGGGGAAAGCAAAGTTTATAGTTCAATAAATAGAATGGCCGATGAACAAGAAGCCACTAATTACCCGATAGAATTTTTAAATTCTTTAAATATGCCCGTACTTCCTTCTCATGAAATTTGTTTAAAAATTGGCATTACGATTATTCTGCTCCGAAATTTAAGACCACCACAAATTTGCAATGGAACTCGGCTTAAAGTAACCCAGTTGCAACAAAATGTAATCGAGGCTCAAATTTTAATAGGTTGCGGTGCAGGAGAAACCATCTTTATTCCCAGAATTCCCATAATACCAAATAATTTTCCATTCCAATTTAAAAGAACGCAATTCCCAGTATCGGTGTGTTATGCAATGACAATAAATAAGGCTCAAGGGCAGACCTTTCGTGTTGTTGGAGTAGATCTCGGTGTCAGTTGTTTTTCACATGGTCAGTTATGTCGGTCTTTCCCGGGTTAGCAGTCCTAGAATTTTTTATGTTCACGTTCCGGACGGGTCAAATTTCAACGTAGTCTACCCGGAAGCTTTGCGCTGAAGTATTTTCATTCTATATGTACTTAAGACTCATGTGAAAGCGATCTAAACAATATTACCAATACATTAACATAATAACATACAAGGAGTTACACGCTGATGGTCTCGGGGCACAGTGATAATAATAATATTCTGCGGTTCCTTATTGCGATATTTTTAACAGTATTATATTTCCCTACTAAAATACGAAAGTTAATCTGTCTATCACATCAAAACCACGGAACCCTGAGGAAGGACATATGCTACTTTTTTACGAAAAACGACGATAACGCGGACGAAGTCGCGGGCAAAAGCTAGTTATTAATAATTGTACGCCTTATGGCAGGACATAGCTGAACTGTATGTACTGATGTAACACCCCATTATTGTACCTATGCTCCACAATAAATGAATTATTATTATTATTATAGCTTATCCTCACTTATCACTTAGATCATAATAGCATTTTGAGACCCCATTTTAGGCAACACACATTTTAGTCCTGAGGGAGTGAATCTTAATAAGCAAATATTTTTGGAAAGTACTATTTTTAGGAACCAAACATTTTAGGAAGAAAATATTAAAGGAAACGACAGCTTATGTTGTAGGAAGGCACACACATTGAGAAAAGCAGATTTTACGAAACATACACTGTATTCCTGAGGAAATATGGGTGCTGTCGTTTGCCACAACTTTATTTCTAACATAAAATATGGATAGAGTCTGTGCGGAAAGAGAATGGGATTTAGGTTGGAGGGCGCTGTAGTGCTTTTCTACCGTATTTGTAAGGTTTTACCCCTTTTAGACATGATTAAATACAAAAAACCGCAAGAAATCACAACAACAAACAAATCCGTATCAATACAAAACTTTGACGTTTTACAGATTGCTGGGTTTGATTGCCAAATAAAAATCTTAATCTTATTTCCGTTTTTCGCCACGCCCATTCTCGTTCCATTCCATCCATCTTAGGCAATTGCTAAAATTCATTACTACCTTGTCAAAAGCTAATCAAGCTATCTTTGAATTATCGGAAAATCAAATGACGTAAAGCTATTTCATTTATTTATTTATTCAGCAGAAATTTACATTTAAAAATATAATTTACATTTAATACAATCTGCCAGCATAATTCTCGTAGACGCATCTTTTCTGTTAAACTATAAATATATATAATGAATCTATAATCCATTATTTGAGTAAATACTAAATTTTAATTGTATGATTTTCTCCCATAACTTCATGTCTTATTAACAGAGTCCTTCACCGAGCAGTCCCAACTCGTACTCAAACTTGATGACAGCGTCTCCTCCTTCAGCGGAGGAACAGCCCGCATACCAGTCACTCGACCATATCAGTAAGTGTATCCATTATCTTAAATTCCATGTATGTATAAACATAAACATCAATACTTGACAGGAAAATGCATAAAGGAAAAAAGTATTTATCAAGAAGCACCTTTTTTAATGTTCATGATTTCACTATAGTTTCTCTCGTTTAAAAGTTTACGTAATAAGTCGACTTTCAATTACATTATTTTTTGACTCATTAATGAGGACCTAGTTCAAAGTATCATTGAAATAAAGTCCATTTTAGCAGTCATCTGTCTTTATACAGGGTTGTTCAACAAGAACTTTGTTTTTCAATTGTGGCTACACCAACAGTATGATAGTTTTGACATGTAGTTTTTTGACGTACTCGTAGTAGATGCAATGGCAATTGTTACAAAGAATTCAATTACGCTTGAAAATCGAATTAAAATAATTAAAATCCACTATGAAAATAGTGGTTTTGTTACAGTTACATTTTGTCAAATTCGTGATATTTTCGGACAACATAATCGTCCTTTTGAGAACGGTATTAAGAATTTGGTCGTTAAATTTGAGTCGACAGGCTCGATACAAAATGTGCCAACACCAACGCGTGTTCGACCGGGTTGTTCAACTGAAAGCATCGCAGCCGTGAGCCACAGTGTTGAAGCAGATCCAAATTTGTTAATTCCGCGACGTTCTCAACAATTGGGGTTATCCAAAACCACCACATGGCAAATTTTGGCCTATCATTGATGACGTGGATATCACTGATGTGTGGTTTCAACAGGACCGTGCCACATGTCACACAGCCAATGAAACGATCAATTTATTGCTAACCAAATTTCCCGATCGCATAATTTCACTAAACTCAGCTGTTAAGTGGCCAGCCGGATCATGTGATTTAACACCATTAGATTATTGAAGTGAAACTTCTTTATCGGCGTTGGAAAAAAATTTACCGTCATATTTTTCGGTTACGCGTCACATTTTTCCGTTACGCGCCATCTTTTTTTATATTAATAGTTTGATAGCTGAATGATCACACTGTCGCCGGCGAGAACTCTCTCTACTCGTTTGTAGCTGAGTGACAATAGTTATTAAAGATAAGACTCGCTCAGCCAAATTCGTATAGCGATACTCGCTCAGCGATACTCGCTCGGCGATACTCGCTCAGCGATACTCGCTCAGCGATACTCGCTCAGCGATACTCGCTCAGCGATACTCGCTCAGCGATACTCGCCCAGCGATACTCGCTCAGCGATTCTCGCTCAGCGATACTAGCTCAGCGATACTAGCTCAGCGATACTCGCTCAGCAAAAGCCGTGCGCGTGCATTTTAACTCAGGACTGCCACTTCGTTTCTAGTTTCTACTCGCTTATCGTTCATCGTCGGAGGTGGAACATGTGCCTTAGATTACTGAGCCGTGTAATCATAACAGTTTCATAGGCAGTAATTTGTATTCATGTCTATGATAATAAAATCCTTTTGTTTAAACTTTATCTAATTTAACTTTATTTAACCAATTTCTGGAAAGTTGCATGTAGATCATTTTTCGAAAAATAAGGCCATAAAGAAGTTTCACTTCTTACGTGTGTACACTAGTACACGCACACATTTTTTTTTGTGGGGTTATGTTAAGGACAGAGTCTATACGGGGCCAATCGAATCGATTGCTGCCTTAAAACTCAAAATCCGTGATGTGATTAACGAAATAGTCCCGCCATTTTGCCAAACAGTGATTAAAAACTTTGATGAAAGAATCGACATCTGTCAGCGTGCTCGAGGTGGACATTTGCCAGATATCATTTTTCATTCATAATTATCGAACTTTTCTCTTTGTAATTCAATAAAAAATTTAATCATCTTCATCTTATTTTTTTGTTTTATTTTGTTTTAGAAAACAAGGTTCTTGTTGAAAAACCCTGCTAACACTTTCTAAACCATACAAGAAATTTTGATGCGGTTTTTACAATATATTTCTTAACGTTTATAATATGTATGTATAATAGAAGCCGAATAATTTATAGTTTTAACAAAGCATAGTACAGGGGGTTACTACTCTTTTTCCAAAACTCAAAATAAGAAAACAAATTTATTTTAACCCACAATTTGTCTCAGTAGAGGGAAAAGTCGCCATATCTACATTTGTCTAAAATTGAGTTCTAAATGTCATGGAAATTACCATTTTTTTCAACGTATTTAGTTTTGGACTGCAACAATTTACATTAATTAATTATTTTACATATAAATTCAATTTGCGTTAAATAACATTATCTAAATCATTATCTACAGCGACAATTAATTGCGCCTCTCAAATAATACACGACTTGTACAATCGCAGCGCACAAGAAACGCGTGATCCGAGCAGTGCGTCTTCTAGAAGAATCTCGGGACGAAAAACTACAGGAAATGAAGGCAGTAGGCCGCGTCCTGGGGGCTGCGGTGTCCAGCTACGAGCCCAGACTCAAGCAGGTCACCTTCAAGTGGCAGCGGGGTCTGAAGATTGGGGCTGGTACCTTCGGGAAGGTATTATATCCTCATTTATAAGGAGAGACTACATGCGCAGAGATCCTAAGAGGACCTCAAGCCGAGAATGGGCGAGTGCCTCTAGAGGTAGCGATGCGCGACTCCGAATGATTTTACCTTTCGACTAATTCGCAACTACTAATTTGGCTATTCGAAAGGCAAATTAGTAGTACACTAATGTCATTATTTGAATAATGACTACTAATTAGTAATACTAATGTCAAATTTACAAAAGCGCAACCAATAAGGTTAGGTTATTCATTCGTTCGTTCATCATTTGCCTTAGTTCAGTTAGTTTCCGTACGTTCGTACTTGGCACCTGCTACGATAGTCTTGTATCTGTTATCTTAATATATATAAATCTCGTGTCACAATGTTTGTCCTCAATGGACTCCTAAACCACTGAACCGATTATAATAAAATTCGCACACCATGTGCAGTTCGATCCAACTTGAGAGATAGGATAGTTTAAATCTCAAATTATAGTCGCAATTTTAATTTATTGCTAAATATTACTTTTGGGCGGTACGAAGTTCGCCGAGTCAGCTAGTTAATTATATTTTTTTCAGTGAAAATTATATTTAACAGTGAATTTGTTTATTGTTACTTGATTTATATATATTTTTAATATAAAGAGTTCATATATCGATCTAATCATTAAAAAACAATTGAAAGTAGTACCCTATTAACTCTGCTCATCTCTTTCACTCGACGAGTTCGCCCGAGTCGACCCGGTTTGTTCGTCTTCGTCACGTACGTCAGTCGAGAGTCGGTTAGTCGCCGCCTTATACCTTCGACTCCAGTCGAATGATATAAAGCACAGTCGACTTGGTCGAATGATTCGTGGAGTCGAATGATTAGTATTATTCGAAGTCGCGCATCGCTATCTAGAGGTATTCCAGCCGGATGGCTTCTCCCCACCGGGGGGGGGGGGGGGGGGGAGTACCCTCTCAGTGTGGAGCGTCTAGACCACTCGACCCTGAGGGGGTCGGCTCAACTAGAGGGCTCTGAGACTCGTACCTTGGCTCTAGTTAGCCGTAGTCGTGGGGGGAAACGAGAGAAACGCCCGGGTATGTATCTTTACCTGGTATAGCGTGTCGCGAGGAGCTCGATGGCGCAAGTGGTTAGCGCGTTAGGCTGCGATCGTTGAAGTTAAGCAACTTTCGCAGTGGTCGGTCATTGGATGGGTGACCAAAATTTTCTATCTGGAGCTCCTTCGTGCTTCGGAAGGCACGTTAAGCCGTTGGTCCTGGCTGCATCTGCAGTTCGTCAGCACCCACCAATCCGCACTGGGCCCGCGTGGTGGGTCATGGCCCAATCTCCCTATTCCATCCATAGGGAAGGCCTGTGCTCCAACAGTGGGGACATTAATAGGCTGATGATGATAGCGTGTCCTAGACCGGGTCTTCGCACTCTTATCCTACGGGTGCGGTATCTGCGTAATGCTAAGCTAGTGTGCAAGTTTGACTGCTGTGTAGTGTTGGTGTTTGTGGCCTGTGTAGAAGAAGTTCGAGGAACTCCGCCTGACCGATGTTGGTCGGGCATTATATATCATAGCCTCCAATATTCACTAGCGCGATGTAGGATTTCCGCAGTATTGAGTCCGCTGCCAGTAGTGCTATCTATTGACAAGGGGTGTATTTCGAAATATACATCAGTGTACTGGCCAGTGGTAATGACGTCACAAATCCGACGCCATATTGTACTGGTATGCTACCATATTTTTACCGGGAAAACGAATATGACGTATGACCGAGCGTGCGTGAGATGCATTCGAATTTTATTTCTTTTTGAAGTTATACTTCTTTAGGCGCGTTATGAAAAAATGATGAGAGTGAAATTTTAAGATGCGCGCGCATCACTGTAACACAAAATTTTAACATAATGAAGCTGATCGCTTTAGCGACCAACTTCATGCGTTACTTCTGTGTTTACCGCACATTAAGAAAATCTACCAGCAAAGTAGAAATAGAATCTCTATTTAGTGGGTCCTAACGACTGCATTGTGAAGGCCTATCAAAAGTATTTATTAATTTGGAACAACAGAACCAAAGCGCGATTCAGGAGACTACAGCGCCATCTCTTGACCATTGGTGTAGTAGAACCAAAAACCACATCTTTATTTTTTGTAATAAAGTTACAGTTATAGGTATTCATATTTATAATATTTATCCACATGTTTCTAGTTTGTATATTCGGAATACGTGTTTGAGTTTCATACAAGTGCAAATCACATATGTTCTAATAAATTATATTCAGTAGCGATTTTAATTGAATATTTTGATTATTTATTTATTTTTTCAAATTAAAACTGAACTTTATTGACTTTGTCCTTTTCCAGACTTTTTATTAATTTATTGTAATTAATTATTTGCATGCAATTAAAAACTAATTTTAAACGATGCCAAAGAAGGATAACTTCTCACGCGCCTACATAAGTACACGCACCCATTTTTTTTATTTAACGAACAACGATGCCATCCGAACAAAAAGAATTCCTTTTAATTGATGAGGTGAATAAAAAACTACTTTATTCGCATTATTTTTGATATTTCGTCGATTTATGACCTCAGTTCACTGGCCAATTTATTTCGGAACCATCACCAGTATAGCGTCGATCCATGACGTCATTAGCATTGGCCAGTATACTGGTATACAGTACGGAATACACCCAAGGTGATCTCCCCCCACCGGGATTCGAACCCAGGACCTCTCGAGTCGACGACACTATGAAACTTGACGTACAAACCACTCGGCCATGGAGGTCGTCAATGTCATTAGTTTTGTGAAGGGCGTGTAAATGTCGCTGTTACCTTTGGGAAAGTTATATCCTCATCTATAAGGAGAAACTACAGGACATGAAGACAATAGGGCGAGTACTGTAGAGCGATTTGAACATCTACCAGTTAAATGCTTAAAATATAATAAAACTTCACTTTTAGACTTTATAGCTAAAAAAAGTCATTGCTAGATAAAATTGCACTATGCCAGGCCCGATATCAAGTTGAAATAGACTGCATCTTGAATAGCGAAAGAGTGGTTTTATGATTGAACTGGGCCATTACCCACCACGCGGGCCCAGTGCGGATTGGTGGATGCTAACGACTGCAGATGCAGCCGGGACCAACGGCTTAACGTGCCTTGAAGCACGGAGGAGCTCGAGTTAGTAAATTTTTGGTCACCCATCCAATGACCGACCTCTGCGAAAGTTGCTTAACTTCACCGATCGCAGCCGAATGTGCTAACCGCCCGCGCCATCGAGCTCCTCTATAAGATACCTCATATATGAGTTACCTAATATTGAAGTCATTTTTCAATTTGACGACTCTGTATATAATACAGGGAGAAAAAAACAGCCCTTGCTGAGTTTCTTGCCGGTTCTTCTCAGTACAAGGTCTCCCGCCGTAGATCTGCGAACCGATGTCGTAGCTTTTCGACATTCACAAGTGCTTGTAACAGCCTAGACTGAAAACGATATTGAATTTTGTTTTCTCTGCTTAAGTTTCCTGCTCCTCCGATACCTAAGTTTTTTTTTTCTGTGTTGTTCTCAAAGAGTTTCATGTTTTTAATAATGTATCTTAAATTAATATACAATAGCTTATATTCTACACCTCCAACGCCGCCCGTGTGTCGGCTTCGAGATGCTCTAGCACGGGTTGGGCGTGGGTGGAGAAAGAGGGGGTAGAAGACGGCATTTACAGAAGGAGTATAGTAAGACAGTGTAGGAAGAGGACAGTGAAAAATAAAGAAGTGATATATAAATAGAAATAACTAGCAAACCAGTGAACCAAATGTTCACCAAAACCTGATTTAAAAAAAAAAGAAAAAAAAATGAATTTAATTAATTGAGAACTTCGGAGATTTTGTGTGGTTTCGTTTGAAATTCGTGATTTCTCGAAAACCGGAAGTGCTACGTTACTCAAATCCGGTTTGTAGTCTTATCAGACTATTCTTAACTTATCTCTTATCTAATAGACAAGTCCGTCCGTCCGTCCGTGGTGCTGTTTCAGCGGCCAAACCGTAAGAGATAGATAAAGAGAATGTTTAAGTTATAAGTTAAGAATAGTCTGATAAGACTACAAACCGGATTTGAGTAACGTAGCACTTCCGGTTTTCGAGAAATCACGTGATTTCTATTTCAAACGAAACCGCACAAAATCTCCGAAGTTCTCAATTAATTAAATACATTTTTTTTTTGGTGAACATTTGGTTCACTGGTTTGCTAGTAACTTAAATATTCTCTTTATCTATCTCTTACGGTTTGGCCGCTGAAACAGCACTACAGACGGACGGACGGACCTGTCTAATAGATAAGAGATAGGGGACGATACCTAAGTTTAGGAATTGTAATTTTAACATTGTTTTTCAAACTTTTCACACGTATCACTCAGGTGTACACAGTGGTTAACACGGAGAGCGGACAACTTCTAGCGATGAAAGAACTCAGCATAGGCGCCGGCGATAGGAGAGCTCTACAACGCGCGGCCAATGAACTGCAAGTACTCGAGGGGGTCATTCACCCCCACCTGGTGCGGTACTACGGCTGCGAGTTACATCGGGTGAGATATTTCTTACGTTAATACCTTAGATTAAAACAAAAAGGGTAGATAAGGCACTAGCCTCACAAAAGTGATCCGCACCAATTGTGGTCCACGACCCTAATCGCTTTAGTCACAACTTGACATGCAAACGACGTACATGTGAACGCCAAAAAGAAATATTGCTAATATTTTGTGTTTATATAATAAAACAATGCCTAAGTGTGTTTTTAAAAGTACTCCAATTGGCCAAGAACTAAAAATAAAACCCACGGCATCACTATTCATTCGTAAGTACTATAAAATATATCTTTTCATAAAAATGCTGTTTATTTTGAATCTTATTCGGTAGTGACGTCGAGTACCGGTCGCGTGATTGGTCGGTAATGCAGTGACGCGGATCTCGCCGTCCCGTTCGTGCTGCCGTGGGATCAGTTTTTGTTTGATGCAAGTACGAGCGTACCGTATCTACCCTTTTTGTTTTAATCTAAGGTTAATACAGGCAAAGGAGATAGCCGTCAACCAGTGTTGGGCAAAATGTAATTAACTTCAAATTAACAATTACAATTACAAATTGTAATTGGTGACTTTAATTACAAATTACTTGAAATTACTGAAATGTAATTCAATTAACAATTAAAATTAGCAATTGTAATTGTTAATTGCAATTACTCAATTACTTATAGGTATATAATCTCTTTTAAAGATGAAATAGTATTTTAAATAAAACTTATATTATGATTTATCAAATGTTTATTTACCTCTATATCATGATCTATTTCGATCAGATAAATTGTGTAATTTACAACCACCTTTTTTAAAATTAAGACAATAAATGTTTTTTTTTATTTTAAATTAGACTTTAATACTACTCTTTGTTTAAACATGTGATCAGAAGGTTTGTGAGATTTTGGTAAATTAATCATTGTAGCAAAAGAGAACAATCAATTGAAATAAAGGTGCACGCCGCCAGGAGACTAGAAAAGGGATAGGTAGCTGTGTAGGTACAGGTAACGAGGCACACACTTACACACTCATAAATTCATGGCAAATCATACACTAAAACTTTGTTTGTGTTGTGCTTGTTGTGCTGCGTACCGGCATCAAGCTAATAACCGCTCAATTTTAGTAGTTTATTATGTTACCCTTGAAAAGTAACTGAGTAATTTGAATTACAAACTAATGTAATTTAAATTACTTCGGACGTAAGTAATTGAATAAATTGGGGGTGTCAACCTGGGGGCCTACGGCCTATCGGGATTGCCTTGGCAATTGCTATAGCTTATCATATATTTTTGTTATATCTGACCGCCGAAGTTTTTGAAACTTCTTGACGCACGCTGTACTTGGGGGTAAGCTGGCGAATGCGCTAAGCGTTACGAAAATTGTGTTCGGGTGTAGGCGAACGGGAGTTGAGTGTGGGATATAAGCAAGAGAGAGCAGTGCACGCGCACATTTTCTTTCTCCCTTTCTCTTATAGCTAGTAAATGAAATATGTATATGTACAAACATGTATATATTGTACACACAGGGCCGGATTTAGAGGTCCAGAAGCCTCGGGGCAACAGGGGAGCGGAGGCCCCCTTACCCCAAATTATTTTCCAAATAAAGTAAACATTTTTTTTTCAGTCGAGTTTTTCAATAAATAATTTATTGTGAACCAAGTAGATTCCCTTAGTATTGAACAAACACATATAAATATAAACGGAAAAGATGTTTACTAGTGTTTACTAGTTGGAATTTGAAAGATTTTTTTTCCGAAGTCTCTTCGGAAAAAAAATCTTTCGCCGAAAAAAGAAGGGCTTTCGCCCCGGTTGCCCTCCCCTAAATCCGGCAGTGTGTACACATATACACACTTATATATATATATATATATATATTTACATCTTCAAAGACTTCTTGCATCTTTACAAACTGCCACCCTGCGGCGTCCACTGTACTCGACGCGATTTTGAATGTTTTAAATGCGTATTTAAGTAGCTATTATTATTATAATTTCTTGAGTCTACGCGAAATTGCATTAAAATATAAAATGCCAATATTCGATTTTAATATTTCCCGGTAATTTAGCGCATCCGTTCACCACCATAACCATACAGCACACTGAATATTTACGTATACCTTCTATGCACTGCTTAAATGCTCCTACCTCCGTCCAACCTTATGTTTAAATTGATTCTGCATAATAAGATTTATTTTTACAAAGTTACGTCCCTCAATTTTTAAAAAGAGAGTTGTTACTTCCAGATACTATAGGTAATGTATATCAATAATATTCATCCTGCTAGTCCACCGGCTTCCAGGTACACCAGTACTTATACTGTCTTTGGAGTAGGAAATAGGTAGCTACAATTACTTACTTATGTTCAAAGCTTGATCGTTATTTTTGAGTTTTACACAGGTCAGTCGGGTAGACAGGGAAGTTCTTTTTTTATTATATCTTAAAGTTTACATTGGTCCGTACATTATTGTCTTTATATTTTTATTCATTAAAGTCATGATCATATTTAAGATAACTTTTTTAGCTCGGCTGGTCTGAAATTTCAAGAGTACCGGTGAGTTGGTTGTCCCTTGACCCTGTATTTTACGGACCCAACGACAATATAGTCGTGCTCTGTGTACATCGTCGACAACGGAGTCGGAGGGATCCACCAAAGATAACTTAGAATACTGTCCGTTCCGGTGTCTTGCCTGATGCTAGTACTGCCAAGAGTTGTCCAATGGCGATCTGTAAGGTTTTCAGTGGGTAGGCTTATGATCAGACACTGAGCTTGGCCGCAAGTCTAGGTGTATTATTCATTTTTCCCAATGTAAAAATTAGTCGGGTTTATTGTGGGTATCCATAATAAATCCTTGTATAAAGGTAATTTGAAAGCAATACAAGCTACCCAGCCTTGTCGTACCTAGGAAAGATAATAGTAGTTAGACAATAAGAAAAGTTGGTGTAAATAGACTAATTCGAACTAGGTAGGCTCGAAATAAAGAATAAAAATATGTAATGGAAAGCAACTTCATGAATTATCTCTGACCTCATTTTTTAATTTGATGACTCTGTATTAAAATAATACCTACAGGGTGAAAAAACAACCTCTTGCTGAGTTTCTTGCCGCTTCTTAGTACAAGGTATCCCCCGCCGTAGATTTGTATGGAGAGGCTTCTTGACGTACACTGGTGCCGAAAGCCTGAACTAAATAAAAGATCCCACCAAAACATTTTCATGAAAAATGTTGCCAAGACGATCCCGTCTTGTATCACTCGCACGGACAAAAAGTTATCAGATCGCACGTAGAGCCATGCTTCTATCTTTACACGCCCTAACACTAAGACCAATTTTATCAGTGCGGTGACAGAGAAAGAATACAACTCACCGTCCCTACTCCTCGCGTGGGTGTCGTAAGAAGTGAATAAGGGATATCGGAGCTTCCTTCCGCTCTTCTGATGCTAGGGTGCCTAACACCCGCCGGGTTTGTTACCACCGTGCGCATGGTGAAAACCCCGTTAAGTGCTTACCGCGCGTTTCGGGATCAGCCAGCGTACAACCAGAGCTCGAGTGGAGGTTGTCGCGACTGATTTAGTCCAGGGGAGGCATCCGTCGAACCGATGCCGGGAGGACTGCATCGACCCGCCGGCCAGGGAGTCCCGTAGAAACGGCTGTCCCGCTGGCCGCTCGTAACACAGTACAGGGGCCCGAGCGTTCCTAACCAGTTCGTAAGGCTGCCCCATCATGTCACGCATAATCTCGGGGTGGACCGTCGTACCGGTTGGTGACCAGTGCGTGGGGTCCCGGCGGCCACTCCGGTGGCCGGTGCGGGACCCTTCTGTCCGGTGGGTCGGCGCATCGACTCTGCAGGCAGTCATTCGGGAAAACAAACCTCCCTAATTTGCCCGAACTCTTCGCGATGACGCCCGCTCGTTTTCACGTCTCTTTTTCAATTCCACCATGGCAGCCTCTAAAACAAAGTTTGGGTGTATAGCGGTGCATACCCCCACGCCTTCAATGCTGTTTAAGGTAGAGTTCTGCAACATACGCGGACTCCTCTCTAACCTCAACGCTGTCGACCACTATCTTGAGACAGCACGCCCAGCATTGTTGACGAAGACACAAATACTTCCGCCTGCTGAAACAGGATACCTTAACTATCCCGGCTACGTGTTTAAAGAGTCCTTTAAAGCGAAAGCCGGTGTATGCCTGTATGTTCGGGCGAATGTTTGTTGTTGCCTTCTCCGCTGCTTGGAAGATCCCTCCTACTCCATGCTGGTGGTACATGTCGACTCTGGTCCCCCATGCCAGAGTCTACGTGTGCCTCTACAGATCCCATACTCGCGATGTTGAGACAACTCGACTTTTCGAACACCTTAGTCGGGCAGCAGATGACGCGCAAGAACAATTTCCCAAAGCAGAATTGGTGCTTTAGGGGGAATTTAATGCTCACCACAATTGTAAATTGTGGTTAAGTTCCTCTAAAACCAACCATGCAGAGCTCTGCTCACGCATGACTTGAAGCAACTGGTCGATCAGCCCACCAGGATTCCAGATATTTCAAGTCAAGCACCTTTATTGCTGGGCCTTCTGCTCACGACCCATCCACAGGGCTGTCAGGTTGTAAGGGGACTCTGGGCTCTTCGAATCACTGCCCGATATCTACCAAAGCGCCACAGACCAAGCCTCCGCGTCCAACGGTGGTACAACGCCGGATCTGTCACTATGGGTCGGCAGATTGGGACGGTATGCGTGACAACTTTGCGTCCGTCCCTTGGAAGCAATGCTGCTTCAGTGACAAGGACCCATCGGCCAGCGCCGTTGCTATTCTGAGGAGATTGTAATGGTTATGCAATACTATATTCCTCATTCCAATCTTATCAGTAAGGACACACGTAACCTCTGGTTCATCACCACTGTGCTGAAGCTGTTTCGCGTAAGCCGGCGGCATATCGTGCTTGGATCAGAGGCCGCGCTCTTAAGGATCCCGGGGTCGATTCACTAAAAGCAGTCTATAATTTAGCTTCCAAGACCTGTAAGA